TATGAAAAATGCTCTTTCGACATGAGCCAATAATCTAGTCTTGAGTAAATGTTTAGTGACAGCTGCCTCCACGTAAACTGTTTCCTCTCTGGAAACATTTTTCTCCACACATCTACTAAGTTATTATTTTTCCGAAATTTAACAAAATTCTGTTTTGGTAAATATGCATATGAGACTCCACTTGTGTCTAGTTTTTTGTTTTGTACACAATTCCAGTCTCCACCTGCGATCATAACGTCGTTTAGTTTTCTAATCTTTTTCACCCATATACATAAAGATGAATAGAAATGTTCTTTCAGTGTGTTTTTTGCTGGAGCATACACATTTATACATAAATACATTCGATCTTGATACGAAAATCTCAGTGCAATAGCCCTACCATCACCTTTGAAATGTTTGTCGATGACCGTAATAGGGAGACTTTCCTTGACTAAAATTGCTACACCTTTGGAATGGTTTGTACCATGATCGAACAAACAAAATCCTTTCCATTCTTTAGATACTATATTTTCTATGTTTCTTGACAAAAAGGTCTCTTGCAAAAATGCTATGTCGCACTTTTGGCGATGGAGCCAAAGGAATATTTTCTTTCGCTTCATCACTTCACGTATCCCTCGTACATTTAACGTAAAAAAGTGAACATTGTTATCAATTTTATTTTTTCCAGTTTCACAGTTGCTTTGTCCTTCGTTCATGTTGCTTCAGTATCAATTTTTCTGATTTTTGTTTGTAGTCACATTGTACTAGTATTTATTTCTTTTTCTTTGGTGATTTCTTCTTTCGTTTCAGAGGTATGCTTCCTTTAGTGGTCGAAGTTTTCGGGGGAGACTCAGGTGACAGAGATGAGTCTTCCTCACCACTTTCGCTCTGTTGGTCATCGCTGACTGTTTCTTGCGCGTGCTTGATTTCATCGCGAGTCTTGCTTTGCGGTTTCGCGTAAAGGATCGCTCCATCTGATGCGTAGGTGGAAGATGATTCAATAGGCCGTTGTGATAAAGCAATCGAGGTTGAGTGAAATACATTCCTTTGACATTCATATTAGTTACATTAATCTTAGGTTTGGCCTTGTCTAGAAATTCTACTCAAGCCTTAACCTTTTCCTATATTTGTGTTTGGGGATTTTTCCAGTCGAATACCTGACATGGCGCAATCCCTATGAATGTCCAACCATGTTTCCGTATTATGGTAGAGCATAGCAGTAGCCCGTTCATGAGCTAGCGTGAGATATTCCGTTATTTGAGTATTACAATCATCTACATCGGCTCCTTTGTGTTGTATACTATTGCCTGCAGCAGTTCATTATATTGAAATATGCATATTCAAAATCTCGATGAGGAGCGAGACAGGTCACATGTTTTCCCCGTAGATAGAGCTGTTGCAGTAACATTCGATAGAAATAGTGTACTGATGAGGCTTTCGTACATTGAACTGTAACAATACGTATTGTTATAGTTTAGTGCTCTCATATCACTGCTATAAAAGTGTGCAGTTTCCAGTGGCGTAGACAGGTTCGTACACCTGGGGGGATGATTGGGCTGCCAACGCTAGTGAGGGCGCGAAGCGCCCGAGCGAGGGAGCGAAGCGACCGAGCGGGGGGAGGGTGTGGGAGGGGGGTGTCCCCCTCCCACGGTAGGGAGCTTTTGCAATTTTTAACTTGAAATCGTGCAATCTGATGCATACTTAATGAGGTAAAATAACACACACAAACGTGCACACACACACATACTCACGCGCACACGCACACACACACACACACACACACACACACACACACATACTACGCCTTGAATGGACAGACATACATCGACAAGATCTACACACCGTGGCATACGAATACAGAATGGACTGACACATAGTATTGCATATTGAACCACACTACGTATTATCTCTGTGAATTTTGCTGTTACACCTCTTCAGAAAAAACCAATGTCAACTGTGTACACGCAGGTATAGTCTTTGTTGTCTTGATAGGGGTATGTGGTTATGAATGAAAACAGCCTCTGTGGCCATTTGTGAATAGAACACATAAAAACAAACAAATAACGATTAAACTTTGAACAATATGTCTGTTCATTATAAAGCATAATGAATACGTACATACTATGCTTTTTTTTACCTCAAAGAAACAAGCATAGTATCCATAGATGGATATTGGCTGGCGGCTCATTAACATACAGATACAAAAAACATAAACAGTATCACTATGATCCATGGAGTAACAATACTGCTTTGTAAGTTTGTGAAGAAATCGGAACCATAACGGCATTGCATCGTTTCAAATTAGGGCATTATTTACTTCTATTTGATCTCAGTCTTATAATAGTAATAGTAATAATAATAATAATAATAATAATAATAATAATAATAATAATAATAATAATAATAATAATAATAAAAAATAATACTAATACAAATAATAATGCTAATACTAATAGGTTCCTTTTATCTCGCATTTCAAGACAGGGTAAATTCACACTGCGCTTTACAAACTTCTTTAAACATTTCAAACTTATGTCTTCATGCATCAATCAACATATTTTAAATGAATACAAAACAAAGTGCATCTTAAATAAAGCAAAATAAATAAATAGTTAACAATACAGAAAAGATGTAGCTGCTGCAAGCTTAACAACAAACTAATGTATACCAGTCAGTCCTGATATCAGTATTAGTGTAACAATAGTCATATAGTGGGAGCATGAAGTTGAACAATTCATGATTATACATAATTATATATGTTTGTTTGAATAATACTTGTTATAAAGATAATAGTATGGTACTCTCTGTCACGAATTATTATGTATACTGTTGTATCACATTCATTTTCTATTATGTTTAGAATTGGCTTTCACCGTGTGAATGCGGCTAACAATAAACACAATTACAATAATGATGAGGATTATTATTATCATCATCATAATTATTATTATTATTAATATTATAATTGTTATCATTATTATTATTACTATTATTATCATCATTATGACTTATTAAGTAAGCAAATATCATTCCCCAAAACCTGGGGGGATGATTGTACATGCCACCCCCCCCCCCACCTTGTGAGGTGGGGGGGATGCATCCCCCTCATTCCCCCCCCCCCCCCCCGTTGTCTACGCCCCTGGCAGTTTCTAATGCAAATGTAAGGATTTTGATTAATATAGTTAATGACAAACCTGTATACAATACAGGTCGATACAACTACAATTTATCAACTAGGAAAACAAAAAAAAGGTGAAATTGCTTTCCTCGAATGTGGATACAATTGGTTTGAAATCTTCTGTTATTGAAGCAAGTTCACTGTTTTGCTTGATGCATATAGACCATGTCACATGATGGCGCTGTGCTGATCTTGATAATATCGCTGTGTGGCACTAGTGTATATAGAGTTGAGTTTGTCAATCAACGGATTTGGTTGTCAGCTCTGAGGAACCGACAGCACAAAGGCACTCAAATGAAAAACCTTTTTTTTTTCTTCTTTTTTTTTAAATAAAAAAGATTGAGGGGGGGGGGGGGTTAAACTACAGACACGAGACCTACAACAAATCAAACAAACCAAACCATTACCCCGAAGAGATAATAATATGTTAGGTTGAAGGTATGGTGCCATCTTATTCCTTTAAAATTTACACATTTCTTCTCGTAATCTAGATAGTACGATAATATGGCCTCGATCACAACTATTTTTAGCAAAGAAATTCCGTACAACCAACGAGCTGTTCTTTGCTATTTCTAAATTATGCGACTGTAGGAATTTGGTTCAGAGTGCAGGCTTTCGTACCTGATAGCCTGAACTCTGAACGAAAGTAATTTTTACCTCCGAGTAGAGAGTGGCAAATGTAGATAGACGACTTGTCAAAGGACATTAACGCCGCGGGGGAATCGAACCGCGAAACATTGAATCCAAAGTTCGGAGACGAATCCGCTAGACCACAACACTCCTATGTGACTTAACAAGAATTTGTAATAGGGGAAGATGCCGAATGGAGAATTTTGCTCTTCTTGTCAAAGCTTCATTTCCAACCCCTTCTCTTTCTCTCGTTCTCTCTCTCTTTTTCTCTCTCTCCCTTACTGTCCCCCTCTCTCTCTCTCCCTTTCTGTCCCACTCTCTCTCTCTCTCTCTTTTGCCTATGTTTGTGTGCTGTCTGTCCGTCTGCTGCCCCTTTTCTCTCTCTCTCTCTCCCTCTTTCTCTTGCCTCCCTGTTCTTTTTCATTATGGTTGGGAGGGTAAGAGTATTTGTGTTTCCTGTAGCTATAGATGTATACGCCACTGGAACCTTATAACTCGTTATCGAAAAAATATGACCCTGGTAATCCTGGAACGACTTACATGGCATGGTCAAGGTGGTGGATAAACACAATAACTCTGCAAACATGCAAAACTTTGCATGGAATTATGACGGTTTTATTTGTGACTTTGAAAGATCCCTTTTCTAATAAAGACCTATGTATGGAATGCGTTATGAAATTAAGAAGGTGTGTGTATGGTGCAAGTATTCACATATGTAAAGGATTCACACCGGTGTATTACCATGCTGACAACAGCCCACTGTAATACATCAAGTCATGTTTTGCATATCCTTGCAGTCAGGGGCGATGGAGCGTCTTTCAACGTTGGGGAAAGGGGTGCACCTATCAAGGGAAACCTAAAAAGCGAAAACATACAATTGTTAGACTTTGGTATAAACCCCGACATTGTGATTACATTATCATGGATGTCCAAATGTTCTTACTTAAATTGAGGGGGAACGTCGCTAGATGCCATTCCCCCCCCCCCGAACCCCCCTTTTGTTTTTGTTACTCAAGGGGGCGTGGTTGTGCTCCCTATCACCCAATTATGAGGTTTAATACCTTACCAAAAGGGCATAGCGCTTTGACTTGGTTTCAAACTTGGGACCTCACACCTCACATTACAACTATTACACAGGCAATTACACTATACTCATAACAAATGCTTATAATTACACATGATGATTTGACATAGGTAATTCAAAAATGAGAAATGAGAAGTTAGATATACACCCAGCATTTATTCGGTTTATACAGATTAAAGCAACATTCCTTTAACAAAGACCGCTATTCTTAAGAACCGCTATCCATAAACACTACTCTTCATAAGGACCATTATTTATAAGGACCACTATTCATAATCGAAGAAGAGGGTCGCTATTCATAACATGACGAGAGGGTCGCTAGTAATGAGCCAAAAGTGAGGTGGTTATTCAAAGGGGTCGCTATTCATAATAAGAGAAGAGGGCCGCTATTCATAATTCGAGACGTATTATACATGTACGTTAATCGTTTTAAACATCAATAGCGGTCCTTATGAGTAGTGACCGTCAATCTGAATTATGAATAGCGACCCTCATCTCACATTTTTAGTAGCGGTCCTTATGCCTTTATCAAAAGAGACCCCGTTTCCGTTGTATGAATAGCGGTCTTTACGACTAGCGAGGTTATACCTTGAATCTGCCTGTGTTACTTAGCATTGCATTGCAGCAAAAAGAATATCCCATAAATATGAATCTAAAAAGATTATGAAAAAAGATGAGTATAAATGACATTCAAATTATACATTAACTACGTCTAATATCAATATGCAACTTGGTCCCGAGAATATATTTTGAAAGAAGTAGTAAGTTATAATGCACTGTAAGAGCAACGAAGTGATATACTGGTATCACACATATATTTGGTGTTATCGAAGCATCAAACCTATCTAAAGTTCCCTTTTACACGAATTGAAAAGAGGAGGAGCATCAGAAATGTATGTGAAAGCATTATAAGACCTTACCAACAAAAAACATACAGATATACTTCATTAAAACTAAGGCATTAAGTACTTCTAATATCAATATGCAATGTGATCCCGAGTATATATTTTGAAAGAAGTAGTAAACGAAGTGATAAACTGGTATCACACATGTATTTGATGTTATCGAAGCATCAAACCCATCTAAAGTTCCCTTTTACACATATTGAAAAGGCGAAAAGTGTCATCAGAAATATATGTGAAACCATTATAAGACATTACCAAAAACTAAACTTACTGATACACTTCGTAAAAACTAAAGCATTGGTTGGTCATCACAATATAAGTAAATAAATGAGTTGAAATTCATCATGTATATTATCCAAAAAGGATACAAAAAGATAGTTTATACCCAAAACATGTCATTCTATTTGATAAGATATATTTTATCATTTACAGAAAAACTAACCATACATGTACGTATAATGTGACAAAACATTTTTGCTACAACTGAATGACATTGGAACTTAACACATACATGAAGCTAAAGATATTTCCTTCAATATTGAAAATTTGAAAATCGCACTACCCCTTGAATCTGTCCTGTTACTTATCATTGCATTACGGCAAAATTAACATCCCATAAATATGAATATACAAATATTATGAAAAAAGAATCAGTATAAATGACGTTCAAATTATACATTACGTACTTCTAATATCAATATGCAATGTGGTCCCGAGAATATATTTTGAAAGAAGTAGTAAACGAAGTGATAAACTGGTATCACACATGTATTTGATGTTTTTAAAGCATCCAGCCTATCTCAAGTTCCCTTTTACACGTACTGAAAAGTGTCATCAAAAATATATGTGAAAGCATTATAAGACTATAACAAAAACTAAACTTACTGATACACTTCGTAAAAACTAAAGCATTGGTTGGTCATCACAATATAAGTAAATAAATGAGTTGAAATTCATCATGTATACTATACAAAAAGGATATAAAAAGATAGTTTATACAAAAAACATGATATTCTATTTGATAAGATATGTTTAATCATTTACAGAAAGACTAACCATACATGTACGTATATGCAATAGAACATTGTTGCTACAAATGAATGACATTGGGATTTAACACATACATGTAGCTTAACATATTTGCTTCAATATTGAAAAATTAAAAATAGTACTACCCCTTAAATATGCCCCTGTAACTTATCATTGCATTACAGCAAAAAAAGAATCTCCCGTGACTATGTATATAAAAAGATTATGAAAATAGACGAGTATAAATGACATTCAAATTATACATTTAAGTACTTATAATTCCAATATGCAATGTTGTCCCGAGAATATATTTTGAAAGAAGTAGCAAGTTATAAGGCACTTTAAGAGCATAATATATCTCCCAACGAACTGATATACTGGTTTAAACACATCTATTTGGTGTTATTAAAGCGTCAAGCCTATCTCAAGTTCCCCTTTTATTTACACATATTGAAAAAGCGAAAAGTGTCATCAGAAATGTATGTGAAAGCATTATAAGGCATTACCAAAAACTAAACATACATATCAACTTCATTAAAACTAAAGCATTGGTCGGTCATCACAATATAAGAACAGAAATAAGCTAAAATTCATCATGTATTTAATACAAAAGGATATAAAAAAGATAGTTTATAGGAAGAACATGTCATTCTATTTGATAAGATGTATTTAATCATTTACAGAAAGACTAACCATACATGAACGTATATGTAATAGAAAATGCTTGCTACAAATTAATGACATTGGGACTTAACACTTACATGTAACTTGACATATTTGCTTCAATGTGGAAAAATAAAAAATAGTACTACCCCTTAAATCTGCCCCTGTAACTTATCATTGCATTACAGCAAAAAAGAATCTCACGTAAAAAGATTATGAAAATAGCCGAGTATAAATGACATTCAAATATTATTTTAAGTACTTCTAATATCAATATGCAATGTGGTCCCGAGAATATAGTAAGTTATAATGCACTTTAAGAGCATAATATATCTCCCAACGAAGTGATATACTGATATTACACATCTATTTTTTAATTTTTTTTTTTCTTCAAATGATTTTATTTATTATGCAAAAAATAGTACAAGAATAATTATATCACAACAAATGTGCAATGAAACAAAAAATATGATAGAAAAAGCACAAGAAAAGAGGAACTAACATGAAGCAGAGCTTGTTAAAGTGTTTGTTCCTCAGATACTCAATACGAGTAAAAGGGAACTTGAGATAGGTTTGATGTTTTGATAACACCAAATATATGTGTAATTAAAGCGTCAAGCCTATCTCAAGTTCCCTTTTTATTTACACGTATTACAATTCGAAAAGTGTCATTAGAAATATATGTGAAAACATAAAAGACATTACCAAAAACTAAACATACAGATATAATTCGTTACAACTTAGGCATTGGTTGGTCATCACAATATAAGAAAAGAAATAAGCTAAAATTTATCATGTATATTATACAAAAAGATATTTTATACAAAAAACATGTTATTCTCTTTGATATGATATGTTATATAACCCATAACCTTATAACTTTTCATCACTACAGAAAATTATATAATAATAATAATAATCCGTTTTTTTATATAGCGCTCAATACACCGATCCAACGATGTGCCTATAAAAGCGCTTTACAGATATATGATACAGGTATCACCCTTCACCAATTGATATTACATGTGACATATTACATGTGATACTTAAAATAGAGACTTATAACATACATAATATGAACAATTACAAGTGGATAAATGATGATGATAAGTTCAAAAAAATAATAACTTTCATTGCATTTTGTAGGTGTAAAAAATTAGAAATCATTAAGGACTTGGAAAAATATAGTACTATGTACTAGTAACAAAGGAAAATGATGCAAGTATGCAACGTCTCCTCAATGAATACATTAGAATTGATAAACACATTATTCTTAACGTAATCTCTGATATATAGAAGCCCTTGAATATAAAGGTTTTATGTTTTAGCAAGTACAATAAACATTAATATAGAACACTTATCAATATATGGATAAACAATGATTAATGTATAAATGTACATGCAAAATCAAGATTTTTTGTTTGCATATTCAAACTGGAAGACTAATTATTTATGAAAGACATGAACCAATTTCTAATGGCAAATGGATCAATGAGATATACATGTTTAACTCATATGCGATATGTAGCTTGCTGAGTATATTTGCTATTTTTTTTGCTTCTTTTAAAAATCATATAAAATATATTGATTCAGTCTCGCGAGTAAAATATTCTCCATTCAATAAAAATCTTACACGATTCCCTGAACAGTGATAAATGTTATGTTACAAGTTTTCTTGTTCGCACGTCACATAATAAGCTAGGAGGTTTGCCTGAGAGACCTAAACAGTTTCATACAAGGCCCCATCCTAAGAAGAGTTGCGATTGATCCAAATTAATCGCAAGTCCTCCAATCAATCGTAGGCCTTTGCAGCCCTGTATCTCTTATGTGCATATTTTTTCTTCTCTCAAATCTAATACATATTGTACAAATCTTTCATACTAAGCAAAATTAACACATTTTTTTTTTTTAAACTAAAGCCCTATTCAGATATGCACTGTGGTACCGTCTCCTTAAAAAAAAAAAATAAAGTTACATGTAAGTAAATATAGAGGACCTTTGTTGCGTGCAGTTGACATTGATTTACAAGTAAGGACACCGCAGCAGTTTATACAAGGTGGTATACCGCGTCATATGTGGATCTCATCTGTGTGTAGAAGAAACCCATTCTGGAATATGATCCTTATCACTCCTCGATCAAGGAAAGCATGATACGATGAAGATAAATGTATTGGTACTGCAACGAGAATATAAAAACAGGAAAATAGTTACGTCATGTATCAGCGAGAGGCTAAGAAAGAGAGAGAGAGAGAGAGAAAGGATATAGGAGAGAGAGGGGAAGAGTAAGAGAAAGAAAATCATAGAGAGAGAGAGAGATAAACAGAGAGAGAGAGGGAGATAGAGAGAGAAAATTTACACATAAGGGCCACGGTATTGCTTTAATGTGTGGATTGAGAATCATGTATAAGTATTTACATGTGTATGGTTCATACTAATAATAATAACAGTGTCAACTTATAGAGCGCACACACCGTCCAGGGATGATCATGGCGTCATAGATCAACAGATGTTCATTGTATATATGGACAGAAGAAGATTCTTTTCTCCAAGATGAAATAACATTAAAAATGTAGTGATTTACTCCAAATAAAATATCTAATTATTTTCTGTGAAAAAACGCATCATTCGGAAAAATAGGAGAAACATAATTTTTTCGTCACATGACCATATGTGGCAACCTAGATTAAAGTCTGACTAAAGGAATGTATGCACTTTAAGTGCCGGACAGGGGCTCGAACCTACCACCTTAGCATATCAAGCTAAGTGATTAAATCTCTCAACTACGAGAAATCTATTATATTCTTCAATTTCATCATGTACTTCTACATGTCTAAAAGTGGAATTTAGTTTTGATACCAAAATAGACAGGAGAGAACAAAATTACATGTCCCTTACCAGTGTTTGAACTAGGCTGGTTCTCTGCTCTCTGAGCTTCGCTACAGTACCAGCGATGTCGATGTAGTCTGTAGCAGTGGATCGTTGTATGGCATTCATTAACATATCAGCAGCGATGAATGTTCCTGTCCTTCCGATACCAGCACTGCAAAAAAAAAAATATATACGACGTGTAGTCGAAAAGTCTCCTGATGACGGATAGTCAACCTGTTCCAAACGTCGAGCCTCTCATCCTCTCCAAGCGCTATAGTTCTCCTTAGAACTATAAGCTAAAAAAGATAACAAACAGTCCTTTTCAGGACTACACACCCCCAAGAAAGATTACCGAGTCAGATTCCTTTTCAAGACTCCTCAATCCTCTCTCTCTCTCTCTCACATGGTGCACCCGCAAGCCTAATGTAAAAGTCAACCTGTTTTGAAAGTCGAGCTTTGCTTGCTCTCTCATAACCTTATTCAATACCTGGTTCACCAGTCCTTTTCACAACAAGCTCTGCTTTTCTATCGGCTCTGCCACTTTATCTCTCAAAGGAATAGTTGAGTTCTTGTTCAGACAGCAAATGCCTTCTAAGTGCATTGTTATTGCTCGTATTCTTATTTATGACATTTCTAGTGCTCTGATAGGACCTAAAAATGCTATGAAGGTAATTTTAGACCCTCAAAAGTGTGAAATGTAGATCATACAATTCAGCTCCACCTTAACAAAATATGGTGACCGTTAGTTCAATAACAATACACGGGACGGCTGTATTATAGCCAACACGAAAAAGCCAACACAAAGCCAACATCGACATTGGCTGTAATAAAACGTATGAGGCGCTATCTTGTTCTTTCAACGGCTGGTTCAAATTATCGAATATTTGTGGGGCCGCAGATACTATAAAACGTTATATTTATGTATTATTCAGCCGCATCAGAACCGATTTTGATCAAACAAAGATTATTTTGTCATTTTAATTCTATGTTCTTTCAAATTTGACACTCAGTTTTGTATTATCTCACAACAAATAAGTTTGTGTAGCGCCCTCTGCAACATAACTCAACTATCCATTTTAATTGATATGAAGGTCAATTTTAAGAATAGTGTGTACCGTTATTGTATGTACATGTATATTATAATCATTTTTCAATATGTTGTTACACTCTTTGTAAAATGAGATATTGTAAAAACCAATAACAAATATAAACAATCCTTTCGAGACTCCAGTCATGAAAGACCTCTTACCGAATAATATCAAGTATTCCGTTTTTCACCTGTGGTTGGCTAAAGTAACGAACTATGAACTACGAGAGACTGCGGGAGACTACTCTTGGTAAATGAATGTAAATATATTAATGTAGACCCACCGCACACGATCTGCTTTCGATAGGGAACACATACACCCTCACGATAAACTGCTCACTGGTTGAGTTCTAACATGTACCAAATTCCCAACTTCTATTTGTTATCGGTTGCACAGCATCTGGTCCTGCATCAACTGGTCTGCAATAGTATTCCTCTACTTACAATTTACAGACCTCATCCAAGGACCAAACACAATACGTATCTGTAATCCTAACCCTCAAAGATCACATTAATCCCAAAATGCAACATCGCGCGACCCTAGTCCAGAGCAAATCGTCTGTAGGGCATTAACTCATAAGTACATGTACTTGAACACAGAATAAATATCATTTTGCCTTCAAACAGACTAAATGTTGGATCAACATTTGTTGTTACCTACCTGCAGTGAACGATGATCGGACCGGTCAGTGCCCCATCTTCCTGGCTAGTCATCTTGACCTGATAGAGTAGCGCGACGAGAGGGGCAGTGGACGCGGGCACGCCATGGTCGGTCCAGGCGAGGTATTGGTAGTGGGTCACGGTGAGTTCTGTACCCTTCTGTTTGGGATGGGAAAGGAATCTCATTAACAGTCAAGCTTTATGATGATTGTGATTTTTGGGCATAGGAAAAAACATTGCAGACTGACAACTTTCTCGGGGGCTATTTTCCCCAATTTCCCCCCGATTTAAGTGACTTTCCTAAAAAAAAAAAAAAAAATGAAATTCTTAACTGGAAAGAAAATGGGTACTTGTTTTTTGGGGGTTTTCACTTATTTCGAGGATATTTTGGAACCCTGTAAATGTGACGCTTATACAAGGCCTTATATACCTTTCCTATGAGTAGAGTGCGCTGAATGAAGTGCTCGGTCTGCTTACTACCAACAAGGGTGACCGTCACGTTGCCATGCAGATGGGGCTTTTGTCCAGTTGGCCAGTAGTGCTCGCATTTGGTCTGCAAGAGGGAAAGCATTTCATTTGGAATTAATGTCTAGCTTTGATAGTTTGCAGATTCATCTTATATATTGTGTTGATATCAATATCGTCATAAATGAAATCAATATAATAGTGATGGTGCTAATTTATGAATTGCCAACATCGTCATCATCCTCATTTCCGTTATGTTCACCACCACTATCATAATCACCATCATCCTCATAATAATCATCTCCACCATCACTAAATCACCGTCATCACCACACCACCAATACCACCACCACCATCATCATCATCACCATCACCTTTAACATCACTATCAACATATGACCACCGGAATTATCATTATCATCATCATCATCATCATCATCATCATCACTATCCTAACTTTTTCTTGGATAACTAAAACAAATAATATCATCATCATCATCCTCATCCTACCTACCATTAGTATCACTACCATCACCATCACCATAAACATCATAATATCATCAGCCCATACTCCCTCTACAAACTAAAGCAACATCACCATCAATATGATCACTGTAATAACAATAATTGAGAAATGTATAATGCGTACTATATCCACGCTGATGGTACTCACAGCGCTTACAATCAAATAATCAACATCATCCTCATCATCATCAACCCCCTCATTACCAACATCATCTTCCCCCTTACCTTTCCTCTTTCCACCAATGCAGTCATCATCACAATGGTACTGGCCTTGGTCTCCCAAACCATCTCCCAGAAGTGGTCAATGGTGTTTGGCAAGGGTCCTTGGGTCGCAATGTACTTCCTGTTTCCTTGATCATCCTAACATTAAAAAGAGACAAGGTCAGATATAAATATATGGGGAGACTCGAAAGCTCAGTCGGTAGAGCAGTGGTCTCATAATCCGGTGACCCGGGTTCGAAACCAAGGCGATGCACCAGTGCCCTTTGGTAAGGCATTAATCCTCATTACCAGGTCCCTCGGAGAGGACCTAAAGCCGTCGGCCGTCTGGTTGCTTACTTACAAGCATTTATGCTTTCTTAGCAGTCAGGTAAAATAACCACACCACCACATCCTCTGTCAGATACAATGAACGATTCAGCGAAACGGTCATGACATATAATTTAAGATGATATAAATAGTAATATGCTTTACATTTCTGTATATTATAATCCAGAGCTTTAATAGTGAATAAGCACAGGACCTTTGTTATGTGGAGTTACCATCCATTTACACATTTATATCATCAAATACAGACATACATAGACATCACGGCCCGTTATATTTTGTGCTCTTTCTTCCCTAGCTTCTGTTCATTCTTTGGTCTGATTTCTGCTTTTTGTTCATTATTACGATTTCAATCGTAAATTCACGTTATCTTTTGTGTGCTTTGAACCTTTGTTCCTTTAGCTTCCATTTATATTGTCTGATTCTGGCTTTCTGTTCATTCTTACGATTTACTCTGATGAATACAAGACAAAAAGCTACAGTATGCCTGTATCCGTTACTTGTTTTGATAGTGTAAACAATTGTTTGTTATGGCAAGGCATTTACCGCAATGTAACTTGCATTGATGTAATCGTTACCGACTTCTCCTTTCAGTTGGACTCTGTTGTAGTCATCTGCAGGAAAGAAATACAATCAAAGCTATACATATTGTTGATGTTTTTGATCAGAGTTTTACATTAAGCCTAAAGGCGACAAAATATAACCATAATGTTTTTAATGTGTATAAGAAAAGAAGAGGGGTAAACACTTTTAAAAACTTCATGTTTAATGATTACAAGAAAATAGTGGACAAACGTTGACCTATTACACTGCATTAATAACTGCATTTACATATAACAATTAAATCATTGACACCCTTATCATTTTAGTAATTTGTCTAAGTATTTAAAAAATAGATGTTTGTATCGATTAATATTTCTTGAGAATGTGACATATTAAAGGCACAACGTCCTACTTGCAGCTACTTGCTCCCTCTATATAGAAAACTTCCCCAATCGGTGCCTGTTGGTCCCCCATGATTCTCTTTTTCTTATGTTAGTTGAGAGCTGAGTTAATGAGATAGCCACCTGTCAGTGACCTCGCTGTGTGGTCTAATCCCTTCTGGCTCAGTAGTGTTGACGGTCTTTAAAGCTTAAATCTAAGAATACTCAACAAAGCCCTTAATTAAATCAGTCCACCTATCATTCAAAAACCGACAAATTTAGGAGTATGAATAATTAAGTTATTACATGTCATGTAAGGCTTGTATGTCAAAACTATAAAAATGCATGTATCCTCTGGTTTCCTCATAAGTCAAATTTCCCTTTGTTATTGGAACTAAATACATATTTATACTTGCAACATATCTTTAGATAAATATTATTGAAAACTGAAACTTTGAATATAAAGCACCGAAAAGAACAGAAGGTCTGAATTACTTACAAGGCAAGATGTTCCTGAATCTATTCTTATCATCATTTCTGGCATTTCGAGCCACAGTCACCGCTCGAATCTTTTCCATTGCTGGCAAACTCTGAAAGAAAGAAACGAAATATCCACATCCATAAGTCAAACAATCTATTAGAAGGGAAAACGTCTGAATTTATTAATTTGACAATTCTTTTTAATTTATGTGCAGTTTATTCAAACACAAAGAACAGCAGGATTATGACCTTATTAACTTCGCCAAATAGACTCGGTCATGTAAGCCGACTTAAACCAAAAAAGTTTAAAGAGAAGGTTTAGTTATGGGAAGAGATGAACTATCATTTGTAAGCGTTATCATTGTTATTATGCAAGTGTGGAAGAACATCAGATAAAAGATTTTCTTCGGTGTACAGTGCTTGTAACTTTACAAAGACTGAGCCAAATTTCTTATCACGTTGATGATTCCAGAACCTTGCAGTATACACCGATACTTATATGCTATATGATCAACCTTTTCTGATCGATTTCACACCGTTTTTTCACAGTGCAATTGCATGACCAGAATTCAACTTTATTTTTGCTTCATCGGTGGTCTTGTCTCTTAGGTCTGTAGTTGGTCTAGTGTCTGTCTTGTTGGTATAAGTGAGGTATTAGGGATGCAAGAGGGTTCTAGGTTACATGCTGGGTTTTAGTTTACACACGTGGTTTTGTGTTACATGTAAGGTTTTAGGTTACATGTAGGGTTTAGGTTACATGTAGGGTTTTTAATTACGTATAGGATTTGACATTACATGTAGGGTTTTAGATTACAAATACCGTTTTGTGTTACATATAGGGTTTTAGGTTAGATACTGGGTTTTAGGCTACATATAGGTACATTTAGGGTTTGGGGTTACTTACAGGGTTGTGTGTTACATATAGGGTTTTAGGTTACATCTTAGCGTTTAGGTTACATAAAGGGTTTGTGGTACCTAGAGATTAGGTCACATCTAAGGTTTTAGGTTACAGGGTATAATGTTACGGTCAATCAGTATGTTATTTTGAACAGGGAGCAATTGTTGCCAGAGCATATGTCATTTGACCTATGGTAGGTAGACTTCTTTTAAAGGTGAAAATGAATCATCTTGTGTAATTATCAGAATTGAACAATTTAAAATTAAATAAACACAGATGAATGCATGAAAATATTAAAATAAATATATATAAATACTTATGAAAATGAATGAGAAAATAAAAAAACTAAATAAATGACTAAATAACTGAATAAACATAAATGAGTATATGGATAGAGAAACAAATGAATAAACAAATTAATGAATGAATAAATATACAATAAATGAATCAATAAACAAAATTGTAAATACTTACGTTGTATTCATCACTGAAGCCATCATTGTTGCGAGCAGACATCTTTGCAACATGTTGGGCAAACATAATCTTCTTGCTAGGACTGAATTTAAATATAGCATGAAGCAGAAGCAAAATAAAAAAAAATGACAGTTTTAAATTCAATCCATTTGATTCTAATCTGTAGAAAAATGAAAAATGAAATAACTAATTAACTGAAATCATAACTTGTACGAATCCGACATGATTTATCATGCATATACGCTTTGTCAGTAGAAAGATTATGTCACAAATAGACATTACGCTATTGTGCCTTCTGGTTAATACAGTACAGAAATGACGAGGTAAAATATCCTTAGAAATATGTTGCAAAATGTAATGTGTATATACATGGGAAATGGGAAAAAAAAACATCCACAAACGACGATTGCCTGTTCCCATACACTTTCTCCCTGATCTGTGAAACATGATACAGATATGGGATGAGCCCTGTGCTCATTCAGTTTAATTTCCCCACACCGATATGTTTACAAGGATTATAATGCCGTAGATGTAAATGTATGTTCAAATGGACTTTACCGGAGCCTGATTATGTACAAGCTCTGCTTTTATTTACACTATTCAGAATTTACATTGTTTTGTTATTGTCTCTTGCATCTATAATTATTTACCATGCTTACACTGTACTTGAGTTAAGTGAACTACCTGTACTGTTTTGCTAATAACTACTATGCTTGTATGAAGCTAGCGAGGTAGCTTACCGTGAATGTGTGGTCGCAGGTTGGTGGACTTGGGCTGAGGTCCCCTCGTTAGGTGGTATCGTGGAGTAATCCGGTATGTTCGTGAACGAGTGCTCCATCATTCGCGGCTGCCGGTATGCGTACGTCGTATTTACTCCATCGCTGATCAGCACCCTCTTCATAATGCCGTTGCCATTACTATACATGTAGCCAATGGGATATACATTATTGTCGTCAGAGTGCATACCACCATTTGGTTTTCCGCAGCTGTTATTGAAAGATGCAAAAATGAAATTATTCTTAGAATAGTTCTGAATGAAATAATTGGGCATTAGGACACACCTTTTTCAGACCTATATTCACTAGAAGGTAAAAAAAATGGTCATATCATGGCAATTCGACTATCCATTATAAACTGGACATTAGAACACACAGGCACGTACGCAGGGGGGGTGTTTGGGGGGTTAAACCCCCCTTTGGTATTTTTATGTGTGTAAACCCCCCTAAAAAATCCCTAAAACCCCCCCCCCCCTTTGGATTTTTTTTTTTTTTTTAATTATTAAAAAAAAAAAAAAAAAAAAAAAAAATTACCCCCATGGCTGACCTAAGAAAGGAGACCTTACCCCCCCCCCCAACGGAGCGAAATGTCAAATTTTCAAATTTCGAGACCAAAAAAAAGAAAAAAAAGTGTCCTCTTACCCCCCCCCACTGAGCGACTTTTCGGCTGACTGAGTCGTTGCGATTTTTTTGGACTCCCAAAAAAAAAAAAAAAAAAAAAAGTGTCCGCTTACCCCCCCCACTGAGCGACTTTTTGGCAGGCGCGATTTTCAAATTTTCCTGAGTCGTTGCGAAATTTTGGACCCGATTTTAAAACCCCCCCCCTTGAAAAAATCCTGCGTACGCCACTGAGAACACAGACTGTTGTCATCAAAGTATATGACATTCACTGGTTTTCCACATTGTGGTTAATTGAAACAAGAAAGAGAGTTACATGTACATGTATGCGTTTCATGAGTTCGTTTGTCGATGCATTTTTTTTTTTGCTGCTGATCCAAAAATGGATGTGGTAATGCACAGCAATTAGTTTGTGTATGTATATTATTTAGCTTAATTCTTTATGATATTACAAGATTCTTGCATTAACCCACACACACACACCCTCCCACATACCCACACACCTCCCCCCACAGATGTATTCTAACAGTAGTGACTCACCATCCGAATCCCATGGCCATGAAGATGGCGAGGATGGTGAATACGATGATGACTAGGACAGTTGCCGGGATGACAAATATTTCTCTGTCAGGATCTGAAATCAATAGTGGATAGAGATAATTCTTAACAGCAGAAAAAAATTTGAAACAGACATGTCAAAAACAGTCTCATATTATGCCTGATAATATATTGTGCCATTAGTTCTTTCCAACAATATGCATTTCGAATTAAACATCTTACATGAATTCAAAATCGAGGCCATTTATCCACTCTGGCAATGTCTAAGCAAACAGCACAGAAGAAAAAAAAACACACAGGAACGTGCTGGTGTTGCAAAACTGATTGTACCAACAAAGTGTTTACTATTATTAATATCTAAATCATTTTCACCTCCCATTTGTACAATATGACCGACACATAACAAAATCCAAACTAGCGAGGCACGCTTATGTATCGTTTATCTTGTACATGTATATGTATCTTGCTAAGTTATATATATTTTTGCTACACATTTTAGAACAAACATTGTGTACAAAAGATTTAAAGGGTGTACATACCTGTTCTAAATAGCGAGCTAAATTCAGTATCCACATACTTGCCGTCAACACCATACGCTCTAATAGCAAATCTGGTTAAAAAAGAACACAGATAAGAAAATTGTTCGATTTAAAAGTCATGAATATACCATATGACTTTACTTGATTTTGTTGAAATGCTGAGGCTTCAGCCTCGGTTACAAATACCATTACAAGCTGCTACGAACGCCGTACAAACAATTTCAGACCACTTCGTAAGATCTTCTTATGAAGGCCACACGAAACCAGCTTTTCGTAGGCCGTTCTGAGGCCGTTCTGAGACCGTTCGTAATTTCGCAGATTGGTCGATGGTCTAGGCCAAGATTTGTTAAATCCCAGACAAATTACTCCTCTCTTCGTAAGGTGCCCGTAAGAACGTTGTAAAAACAATGTAGGGACCTCGCAAGATATCCATACATTTTGTAGGGTCGGGAGACAATTCTAGAGGCCTCAAATTCTTACGATGTTCGTAAGAACGTCCTAAGTTGTTCATAAAGGGCTCTTTTGGCGTTCCTATGGTGCTCGTAAGGTGAACGTACACAATTTGTGCATGTTATGCAGCGCTTCTTTTGCAACCTGACAACATATACATATAAATCGTAAGATATTTTTACGAATGACTTGAGAATGCCATCAGTTACACGTTCGACCATCTTGCGAGAACAGAAACTTGTAAGATGGCTGTAAGTCTGACGTATGAGCTCAAGGCATTCTTACAGGAAAAAAGGGAAACATCAAGGGCGTTCTAACAAACTCTGTAAGAATGACGTAAGAAACTGTGCCCCATCTAAGATTTCTCTATGAACTTTGGAATTTGTACAAGCAGGGGAATTCGTACGAACCTTTGCCACCGTAGAAAAATTCAAGGGCGTTCTAACGAACTCCGTAAGAATGACGTAAGAAACTGTGCCCCATCTACAAATCTCCATAAACTTTGGAATTCGTACGAGCCTTTGCCACCGTAGCTTTAATGTGATATATATTTTATAAACTATCGTAAAACCAGAGCAGCACACACAAACTTGATGACCAATTAAGTTTGCATGTCACAAAATTTAGGAATTGTGCCCTCCGAGAATCCTGAATATGCCACTAATGTATACTCTACCTGTAATAAGTGGCAGGGTAGAGAGCCCCGTTGCAATAGACAGTGAGGTCGTCAGGATCACAATTCTCCGACCCAACTCTGAAGGTGGCTACAGGTGCTCCATCAGCAAAGGGGTTATAGTCGTTAGGCGTGGGCTGGTAGACGGGAACAGGGCGTGTTCTTCTGGCTTCGGCCCAGGTAAGCTCAAATGTGTTCTGACGTTTGGCTGTGTTGACAATTGTACCTGCAGAAGAAGAAGATGGATGATGAGAATTTGGGGATTTCATATGTTGTATCTGGACCCTTACCACGCAACTAAGTTAACACGTAGTGATCAAATTGTACTTTTATCACTCAACTCTCCCATTTTAGTTAAATCTGAGCAAGTAATATATCTCCTTATAATTTAGGAATAGAAAGTCTAATTATTCCTAGTCCAGGAATTGCTCTCTTTCAACACACTTCCACTGAGCTCTCTTAAGCCATGGCCACCAACTGTAATGAAATGTTGCAAAATCATGGCACATAATTCCAAGACAGTTCTAAAAACATGTGCATATATGTACTATGCCCAAGTAAGCACAGTATAATTTGACTACATGCAGAAGACACTGACGTCACGTCTTTCTCCACATCATGCTTCATAAGGGGGTTAGTAAGGTTTGAAATATGAGATCACTACATCCATGCGCATCTCAAATTGGCAATTTGGCGATTTTGACCACATGTGTCATTGGGCAACTCTCCCGTATATAAAATCATGTATTAAGGATAGCATAACATCATAGATCCTCTAAACAGGAAAGACCCTCCTAAATCATACATTTTGAAGAAAAATAACAATAACAATAACAATCATTTGTTTGTGTTGAAACAAATGGGAAAGTAGTCCAGCACTTCGTCACAATGACATTACCGATTCAGCCAATTTGAAGTGACATACGTATAGTAATTTCAACTTTTAAAAATGTATAACTTTCTTATTTTTTGTCCGGTTTAATTCAAACTTTCTCCTTCTGCTTCTCCAATTTTTTGCTAAGCTTGGGTTCCACGTTCAGTCTAGACAAAAAATAAACCATATGTAGTCAACAGGTAGCGGAATTTTGTTGTTTGAGAGCACTATCTTAAGAGCACCATCTGAAGCTAAACAATATACATGTATGTTTTCGATCAGAATTTCTATCACATCGTCAACCAATTTGTGCTTGATTGATCGCACCTTAAAACATATACAGCTTTCTTATTTTCAATCGGATTTTGCTCAGACTGTCACTGACTTGTTTCTCTCAATGTCCTGCTTCTGTTAAATCCAACTTAATACCAGAGTGGACTTCCCCTTTAACGCATAGCCTACCATGAGGGTGCATGCACACTATCGTTATAGTGCTTAATTGTACATGCGAGCAAGCTATTGCTACGCTGCCATGTGCGTGCACAATTTCTTAGTAGCAGTTATTGTTCATGCTCAATTGACTGTGCTATGTGTTTTGCACTCGCTATTCATAGAACTATCACGTTAATTAGATTATCTCAATATAAACTTGGCACTCCGTGATTTGGGGCTTGGCACAATGGGGATTAGCCCTGTGGCATGATAACAGTTAAAAAATAGGAGTTAGCGCCCTTCTGTTATCTCAGCAGATGCCATTATCATTGATACTTACCGCCATCCACTCGTTCCTGCCCGATGATTGCTAAGCGCACGATGCGTCCAAAACTCGTATCAAAAAGGTTGTAAAAAGTGATGGTGATAGTGGTGATGCCTCGAGAGACCAACAACGGAGTTGCTCCACGAGGTGGAGCTGGTGGAGCTGAACAAACCGAAAATAATGAAAATAAATGAAACTAATTGATTGACCCCTATTTGTATAATGATATCTGAGTCCTACATGAATCTTACTAAAATGAGCTTAAAAGCTGGCTCCAAACCTTCATTGTAGACCCTCTTGTTTTCACAAGCTTTTAACTGTATATACATTGTAAATTGGTTGTGTGCCCATAATGAACAAGCATTTTGATTGATATTATTGTTTTACCTAAATTAATTTTTGATATTTATTAAGTAATTGCGTTGTATACATTCTTCTAATTGTTTTTTCCATCAATTCGTTCCTGTTTTCACGAAGTGACGGTAGTGAGGAAAATCCGCACGCAAATTCTATGCGATTTTCATTCACTACCGTCACTTCGTGAAAACAGGGACGAATTTTATCATTATCATAGTTATTATGATTACCACCGTTAGTACTACTACTCATACCTGTTTCAGCAAACAGGGTTCTCGTGGTCGACCTTCGATTGCTTGATGCGACCTGGTTGGTAGCGTACACCGAGAAAACGTAGTACTGCCCTACAGCCAAGCCAATGACATCCTGTGAGTAATCTGTCTGCCCATTCACAGCCCTAATGGTGGCAATTTCCCTGTACTGTGTTCAAAAATAAAAGATTTGGATTCCCTCTTCATGAATAAAGGCACGATGGCTCAGCATTAGAGCAGTGGTCTTGGAACCGGGAGGTCCTAGGTTCAAAACAAAGTCGATGTGCTGGTGCCCTTTGGTGAGGCACTTAATCTTCACTACAAAGTCCCTTGGCGAGGACTTAAAGCCGTCGGTCTCCTGGTTACCTTATTTAACAAACATGCACATGCTATTTCAAGTATTTTAAGTTGGTTAAAAAAAACATCACACAATCTTTTTCAACCCCCCAAAATACGTGCTGTGGCTAGATTGTGATCCCCTGGCCCTCTGACGAAGAGTCTAACACACAATCAATTAGACCAGGCCACTTTTACATATAGTATAAACATTTGAAGCTACATTTGAATTCTTAGCAGTCACGTATAAACAAAAATCTAACAATTGAAAAATCGAATGTGTGAATAAACTTACTGGAGAGAGGGTACCATCGTCAAGTGAGATGTGAATGGCCAGGGTGTAGTTGGCAATGACGCCATTTGGAAGCAGAGGAGAAGACCAGCTGACCTGAGCATCGAGGATTCCAGTCTGGGTGATGGTCAGTCCACTGACCTCACTAGGCACTGGATAGATTCAAAAGGCAAGAAGTATTGGTTAAAGATAGTAATGATAATAGCAACAACAGAAACACCAACAACAAAAATAATAATAGTGGATATTTTGTGTAACGCTAAAATCTCTTTCAGATATATCACTGCCGTCACTCCACAATATTCATAATAACAATTGAAGTAATAACAATATACACATGTAGTCAAACCTGTCTATTTAGACCGCCCTCGGGAACCAGAAAAAGTGGCCACTGTATACAGCTAACAGTGGCCTTTCTACACAGGTTTTACAACACACATTTCCATCTTCAGGGAGACAAAATGCATGGCTACTATCAGGGCGGATCCAGGGGGCCTAGTGGGCCTTGCCCCCCTCCCCCTGCCTGGCCGAGAACAAAAAAGACAGGCAAAAAAATAAAATAAAATTCTAACCAGAAATGTACCATTTTTGTTTACTTAAGGGCTAGGGTAGGATTTTCAAAATTCCGGGAAAAAAAAGAAAACAAAATTAATGCTCACTGGCATTAGACAAACTGGGAGTTTGACTAACTTTTTATTAGACTAAACAAAAATAATAGACCAAATGGGAAGTAGATTAATTGGGTAGTAAACAAACTGGTTGTAGACTATACAGCACTCCACTGTCCAGAGAACTTGTCACAGGAGCAAACGACCTGTTACTGCCAGGTCCTAAGGTAGGGTGGTCTTACAGGTACAGAAAATATTAATCATGACATGAGAATAAACTGCCAATTCTTGAAGGTGTTATACACGTGAAGTTTAACTTCTTGGATATCCCATTGAAATAAACGTTTTTTTATAGAGTTATCGTGCATATCTTTGGGATGTCTACTAACTTAATTCTTCGCTGGTTTTGGGAAACTGGCCCCAAACTTCTAACTTACTGGATGGCAGTGTTGTTACTGGGAGTGCACTGACAGGATCGCTAGGGACATTGACGTAGACAGCCTGGAGAACAGCGAAATAAGCTGTGTATGAGATCAGATTCTCCTCGGTATGACTCAGGCTTTGTACCTTTATCAGGATAGTATAACATTGATACATGTATTATATATACAAACCATACTGATCATGATAATCGTGATGATGACACTAACAAAAATAATAACAATACTAATAACAATGGTAATAATAATAATAATAATAATAATAACAAGAGTAATAATCATAACAATGTAATTAACAACAACAATGATAATAATTACAATAATAATGATGATGACAATTATGAATATAATAACAATAATTGTAAAAACAATAACATCACTAATACAAATAATGGTATTAATAATGATAACAAACAACAAATATAATAATGATATTATATAAAACGTCTATAATGAAAATGATAGTAACAACAATAATGAAAATAATGGGCTACATTTACACATTTTTTTGCAACCATGATACACTTATTAAAGGAGAGACAGAAAAGTTAATATAACTTACCCGAAGCGTGTTGATGGTAGTGCCCGTGTTTTCTTTGATTGAGATTACAAAATTCGTAACGGTAACACTCGCAAATGGCAAGCTCCATATCCATGTAATAGAAGTAGCGGTAGCCTTGCTTCCGGTGAAATATGGGCTGTATTGCTCTGAAAGAATTGTAATCAAAGAGACCCGTCGATAACAGGGAATTAAGAGCCAGAAATTTTAACTAATTTACAGCCATTTTGCAACATTAAACTTCTTTGACTTGCACAAATTTAACTTTGGAATCCAACTGTTTTCAGCATGGAATGTTCTAAAATCTTGACCATCCACAAAATTTGCATGAATGTCTCTGGTTTTAAGGTAACATTCTTGAGGGTCATTCAGTATAAAGTGACATACAGCAATGTCAGGTAAAAAGCCGTATTAGGAATGTAAGTCCTTACTAAAATTAGATCAAATTAATCCAAACTGCATGAGAATCCAGTTTGAGATTTTGACTGGATTTGGGTGTAATATGCCTTAAATAAAAAAGCCACACACTTACTTGTGACGATGTCAACTGTTACGACATCACTGGACCTTGTTTCACTTCCGTCCGTCTGATCGCTTTCTGCCCACAGGCGGAACTCGTAGCGCGTGCTGGGTATCAGGTTGGACAGCTGGATGAAGGTGTTGGTCGGTGTGGTGGTTTCGTTGGCCAGGACCGCGGAACCCGAAATGCCGTAGGTGTACCAATATCTTGCAACTACTCCCACGCTTGGCTGCCACGTTACCGTGACTTGTGTCAACTCCTTGTTGGTTTCAGAGATGTGGGATGGTAATGCAGGTTCTGAATGCATACAGGATGTGAAGAGGCAGAAGGATAAATGTCTGCCGAAGTCTACTTTACCAAAACAAAATAACATGTTAAAAATGTTTGAATCACGCTAAAAATCTTGCTCTATATGTTAAAGATTACGATTTACTAAATTTAAAATACGGATCAAGTGAAGAACCTACCATAGAAATGCAGGGACTTTGTTCCCAAAGTGTGGGGTAACGGACTGACAGGATATGAAACCAGCTTTGTTTCTGGTTTGTAATGTAATAATGCACACCCACTGCAATGTTCATACTCCCAACAAGAACATGAGAGAGATAATGGGGGTTTAAATAGGGGAACAACTTCATAATTGTGAAAAGCAGACAGCTACATTTGTTTGGGCATTAAAGTATCTTTAATAATAGCTTGACAAACACAATTTTGAAAAAAAGAAAATGGTGTGAGAAGGGGGGCAGACCAACTTGGTCATATTTTTCTGATCACATTAAGCAGTGGATCAGAATGTCATTTGATCAGCTAACTAGAACAGCTGAAAACAGAAATCTACAGACAACCTGCATCTCTATCTATGAAACGTAGATATAGAGATGTATCACTAGCTTTTGTTAAATACCTAAAAAGGCCACCTGTCTATAGCGGCCATATTGTTCGTCTCCCTCCATAGAGTTTGTATGTTTTTTTTTAACTTGTTTATAGAGGAAACCTGTCCATAGTGGCCATGTAGTTTGTATGCTATTAGTGAGTTGTTAAATCTGTCTAGAAAGGATATTTGTCTACAGTGACCATTCCTTAGGTGGCCTTATATAGATAGGGTTTGACTTTACAAACTAAATTTACCACTCACAGGAGACAATAAAAGCAGTCTTGATGGTCCTTATGTACAGGTTCTTAGTTTATTTCAAAGAGTTTAAATAAGTAACTCAATTTAAAAATGTAATGTATAGGCAGTTGGTCTTTTTGTACAGGTTATCGCTAAATCAGGTTCGACTTGATATACAAAATTTACACCGGACACTTCTTTAGTTTGCTTGGGTGGGATCGATATATAGGTTTGACTGTACTACATGAAGATACATACAATCTCAGAAGATCTTACTCATCAGGAAGGGGGAAGACACCTGAGGCTCCCCAATCACCTCTGCCTGGTTCGGTGCATCATCTGGCCGTATCACTGATGCAAGTCGGACAGTATAAGTTTCCCCCGGGACCAGCTTGGACAGCACAATTGTGTTGGTGTCAAGATTCACTTTAAACAAAAATATATATCCAGTTTATTATACCAAAAAATGAATGCTACGGAGGTCCATACCATGAAATATAAGAGCTGATAGATAAACCCTCGAATAGCTTTACATTAAGTTATTAATTTTCTCCTTGTCTGAACGTCATATACAGAAACATCTTAGAGCAACATTCGTTTTGAACAAAAACGTGATAAAAAAATTAGCACCCTGCTCTAGATGAGCGTCGTGTTGTATGACAAATTGTATAACTGGATGGAACTTATTGTGAGGGTGCACTGATGACTGGACAGCTCCTCTCTATACGATGATTCTTAGGCGAGTTTCATATAAATTTGCTAGTATAATAGTCTCAACAGGCTATTAGAAGTTTGTGAGTGATGTTATGTCTCAATGCAGGTCGAGGTCGAAATGTTTTGTCAGAGCGAACATTCTGAATTGAAAGATGAATATATTTATATGATTTGATTTTTGATTTTTGATTTTATTTTATTTATTCATCATCAATAACATCAGTGATTAAACATTTGAATACATCGTGAATGGTACATGTTCATAAATGAATATTATAGATCATATTAAAGAAAAACCTAACAAAGTATTGATATGCTAGACATATGTCTTTTCTCATAGAATATAGAAGGTGATGAAAAGGAGCCAAATAATAGCACATGTGCTAGTCGAGTCTGGCCCCTGTTCTTAGCACACACTTGGCAAAAATAAATATATCATTATCAAAAAATAAAACTTGACAGTAGAAGTATACATGTTGAGTAATACCGTAGCACAATTTCTACACTCCAAATATAATTATGAAGAGGATATACCAGGTTAAAAAGTCATAGATACATGTATCTACAGATTATTTATACAAAAAATTGCATTTTTTTGACAAAAAAAAACAACAAAAATGTAATATGGAGATTATTTACAATATATACATGTGTACTTGCATAATTCAATCACTTATTCATCAAGTAATCGTTGAGATGTTTACGAAAAGTGTTTCTAGACCCTTTGTTTTTGATTTCATCGGGAAGTTCATTCCATAATCGGGTTCCTACACAAGTTACTGAAAATTTGCCTTGTGTTGTTTTATACAGTGGTATACGTAGATGGCCCTTTTCTCTTTTTCTTGTATTGTATCTATGCTCAATTTTATCACAATAATCCGTCAAACAGTGAGGTAAATTATTATGTACTAGGTCATACATAAATGTACATAGAGACAACTCATAGAACTTGTTAATATCTAAGATTTTCAATTCGTAAAACAATGGTGCTGAACGACTCATAAAATGGCTAAATGTGATTGTCCGTATGGCCATCTTCTGTGTATACAGTATGCAATTTAAGTGAGACTTGTAAGTGCTCCCCCACACTTCAATTCCGTATGATATATGAGGTTGAATAAAGGTTTTATACAACAACACTAGGATATTTCTAGGCACAAAATGCCGTAAGCGGAAGAGGATTCCTACTTTTTGTCTGATGCATTTATTAACCATTTGTATGTGGGGTTTCCAAGTCAAGTGTTTATCAATCTTTATCCCAACAAAGAGCGAAGAATCAACTTCTATTATTTCAGCTTCTGATATAGCCAGTTGCCCTTGAACATTAATCTGCCGTCTCTGGTTTCTTATTAGCATATAACTCGTCTTTTGTAAATTAATTGTCAGTTTATTAGCATTACACCAGTCTGAAACAATTTGAAGATTTGTGTTCACTTCAGTCATATCAATTTCTTTTTGCCCTTCAGGAAATGTATGGAATAAGTTTGAGTCATCCGCAAAGAGTCGAAAGTTAAAGTAACGTGTAGCAAATGGCATATCATTAATATAAAGTAGGAAAAGCGTTGGGCCTAGGACAGAGCCTTGCGGTACACCACATGTTAAAGGCAGCATGGGAGATGTTACATTTCCGTACTGTACAAATTGAAATCTTCTATAAAAATAGTCCTTAAACCACTGTAATGCTATTCCTCGTATTCCATAGTGTGAAAGTTTGCTGTATAAAATATCATGATTAATTGTATCAAATGCTTTCTTAAAGTCTACAAATATCCCAAGTGTGATTCTTCCCTCATCCATTGAATTCCTCAAAGTGTTAACTAAATTTATCATTGACAATTTTGTACTGTATTTTTTACGGAAGCCATACTGGTGCTCATATAATACATGATTTTTTTCAAGAAAGTCAAGAAGCCTATTATTTACAATTTTTTCAAAAACCTTCCCAAGAACAGGTAATACTGAAATAGGTCTATAATTTCCTGCTTCATCTTTAGGTCCTTTCTTATAAACAGGTGTCACTTTTGCTATTTTAAAGGCATCTGGGAATTTACCAGAGGTGAAAGACAGATTGAAAATAAATGTAAGGGGAGAAGTTACATAGTGCACAGCATCTTTTATCAGCTTGATTGGCATATTATCATACCCACTAGCTTTCTTTACATTCAAGGCTATTAAATGGTTGTTAACCTCAGTCTCAGTAACTGGTTTCCAGAAGAAAGATTTGTCTACACCATCGTCTAAAACTTTCTCTGTATTACGATTTGTGTTTGGTATGGCATTCGCCAAATTTGGACCAACATTAACAAAGAAGTCATTAAATGCATTTGCAATATCTTGTTCATTACACAGGGTTTCATTAGTACCAGTATCATTCACACACAATTTATCCACCACTGTTGGCTTAAACGAATTGTTTCCACCACTTAAAATCTCGTTTACAGTCTTCCATGTTTTGCTAGTATCACCCTTATTTTCAAGGAATATCCTACTATAGTAATTTCTCTTTGAGTTTCTGATTATTGTAGTTAACATATTCCTGTACTTCTTGTATGTTGTTAAATAGACAGGATTGTGGTTGGTGGCAAGAACCTGTGAATACATTGTATGTTTCTTTTTTATGGAATTCATTATAGCTTTTGTAATCCAAGGTTTCTTAGGTTCGTTCTTTCTCCTTTTACCGTGTTGAGCTACAACTGGTGCATGCTCATCACACACTTTTGTCATGATTTCACAAAAACGGGAGTATGCGAGATCAGCATCATCCGCTGCATAAACTGATTCCCATGTTATATTGGCAAGCTCAGCATGGAATTTTGTAACATCATAGTTCTTGTAAGAACGAGACATTAATTTTCCTCGGCAAGACTTTTTCTTAAATTGTATATTAGACTTAAAAATGGTAAAGATCGGAAAGTGGTCTGTAACGTCAGATTCAATTATTCCTGCATGAATACTGGGAACATTCATATTGGTATATATATGATCAATCAAAGAGAAGCCATGTTGCGTTACTCTAGTAGGAAAATTAATCAATTGATGCATGCCGATACATTGCATGGAGGTGAGAAAGTTATCAGCTGCCATTTCATCGCCTAGAAGATTGATATTGAAGTCTCCAGTTAGCACACATTGACTTTTGTCTAATTTCAGATCATGTACAATACTTAACAGACTATCCTGAAACTCATGAATATCTGTATTTGGCTTGCGATAGATGACACCAATAATGATCTTCTTTTCATTAATTACTACTTCCAACCAAAGTGATTCAGCATGTGCTACTTCAAAATTTCCCAAAAGCCTGTATTTAAGGGAAGAGTGAATGTATGCACCAACACCTCCACCTCTTAAAGTATGATTGCGGCATTTCACCTCTAAAGTATAGCCTTGTATGCCCAAGATGGATGTGTCTGGTACGCTCCACACTTCAGATAAACATATTATATCAAATTTTGATTTGATACTACATTCGTATAACAGTTTTAGGTTTTCTATATTTCTATTCAAAGATCTGATATTGACATGTGTAAGAGAAAATGCATTTTCAGTTTTGGTTTGCAGAACATCATCAAAATTAACAGGAGTTAATTTGTGTGAACTAAGACACAGATTGAGTTCATTGTCCTCCATTTTAAAGTCATTTTTCTATTAATGACTTAAAATTACTCAGATAAAAAGAAAATCAAGCAATGACAAATAGCTTGAAGCGAGCGTAATCCATATCATCAAGTCCAAGATCAAAAAGGTCATCAGGGTTGCGAATTGTTTTAAAATCGCCATCATCCATCTTGCAGACAATTGTTCCTGACCTTGTCGCCACACTCTTGACTCCATCTATCTTTTTGGCCGCCATCATCACCGAGTACCTCAGCCTGGTTAGGTCCTCATTCACATACACCCTCGTGAAGTTGTCCTTGTCTTTCAGACCAAAACGTGCCTGGTACAGGGCATCCCTCCTCCTCCTTGTTGTGAAGCGCACAACAGACTGACGAATCTTCTCCTTATCTGGTGACCACTTCCCTATACGATAACAGGACGAGATGTCAGATGGTTGAATTTCAACATCCACTGCTTTTGCCAATCCAATGACCTTTCTTATTAGGTCATCTTCAGACTCTTCGCCTTCTTCTTCTTCACCATTTTCTGCTAAGCCGCTAATGCGCAGATTTTCTCTTTTTGTTCCCTGCTCCATCTCATCCATGCGAAATTGTGACCGCAGGATCACAGGATTGACAGATTCTTTTACATTGACCATAAAAGCATCTCTCACTGCTTGAACAATGGCTGGTATTGCAGTTTTAATTGCTGCCTCCACTGCACTGGTTATAACCTGTGCCATATTACCATCACCTCCGTAATTCATGTCCCCTAGCTGGTCAGAGAGATCATCAAAATTTATGAAGACCCCCTTGTCCTTCGATGATTCATCTCTGCTTGTGGTGGCTGTCATACCTTGCTGCCTTATTACCTCTTGGTTTACCCCCTCATGAGCGTTAAAAGGACGTTTAGGTGTTGGCATTTGTCCTTGGCTGGCAGACTGGATTTTGCCTGTGGTTTTGGCTTTTTTATTGCTAGCTGGGCGGAGCTTGGGTGGCATAATGAGGTTCTCTTATCGCTGTGGATATACACGAAATAAAGTATGTGGGGCTGAACTTACAGTTTTGCACTCGATGTCAGATTTCAGGAACTGGTTTCTGCTCAAAATACCGTTTTCTGTTTCTACTGAAAACTGTGCATTATCTCCAGATTGTTCTATGCGATGAAAAGATGATGGTCATATAAGTCCAAGATGAGTAAAAAACTATAATAAACTATATCATATATATGCATGCATTATAATTGGTATATGAAAGTGACGGTATTCGTGATCTCATGCTTTGCTTGTTTAGAGTCAGGCCTTTTTAATCATGATAAGGATGCAATGGCATCCGAAGTGTGCATCTTAAACATGTGCCTACGGAGCAATAGGCACAATAAGTAAATTGTTTAAGTACTAATGGATTCAAATAATTTCTATAATATCTCATTGCCCATGACTTACAGGTCACACTCATCGTCGCTGGCATCGTTGTCATGACAACACTGACAATAGGGAAGTTCATTTCATCAGGAGCTGCCCAGGATAACCTTGCTGTGTCTTCCCCGATCTCAGAGAGGATAAGGTTTTGAGGAGGATCAGGTACTTGATATGAAAAGAAAAAAAACGTGTATCAATTCGAAACGAACCCGAGACTACCACAATGCACATAAACCTGTCGATTAATTTTATTCTTGCTTCTTGAAGAAAACGTTTCTGATGACGAATCAAAAGCTTACATGATATAGCAACAACTAATGGTTTTAAAGTGACCTCCATCCATAGAGATTCAATTATGCATAGCAGGTGAATTGGATAGTTCATAAGGTAGGTAAAACTGGGCTTAATAATAATAATAATAATTATCCTTGCTTATATAGCGCCTAACACTTCCTATGCAGTCTCTAAGCGCTCTACAATAATGCAGCTACTTACCCTGGCTTTAGCAGTGCAGTTGTTACGCTTAGTTAGGTTTATGAATATTGGCCCTATACATGCGTTAATTGAAACACATCAGTAAACAGGTCTTACAAAATATACATTAAGTATTATACATTTTAAATTTCATTCCTGTAGGGAGTGGGAGTGGCTCATGTCTCATTGAGACTTTTACATCATGCGAGTATTCAAAAACAGTTAAAAGGGCAACAAATTCACTGGTGATAAGAAAATATGCGGGTAGGAAATTCGATAGCTGCAGCCGGGATAGATTTAATGTCAATTTGTAAAATTGCCATGTTTTTAGAACTTGTTTTTAGAGTGTTGAAGTGTGACGGCATCAACAAATATTTTTTTTTGGAATTTCTCTTTTGGAAAATGAAGAAAAAATTGAGAAATTCTAAAAATAGATTTTTATGATGTCACAGCTTCGGTACTCTTGTTGATGATTATGCAATAAGCATGGTTCTGGACCATAGTTCTAATTTTTTTCTGATTGATGACTGAATTGCTAAGTCTGTCTTGCCACTTTCAAAAGATCCCTTAACCCTAAAAAGGACGGGCTATTTGAGGCCTTAGTACGGCCTGGGGGGGGGGGGCATTATGCCCCCCACCCCCCCCCCCCAAAAAAAAATCTGGGCCGTGAAGCGGCCGATCTCCGCGAAGTTTTGCACGCATGTCAAGTGAAGTGTATAAAATACTACGATAGTTTCAATTTTTTGAAAAATTCACTCATTTGCATATTTATGGTAGTTTATGCAAATAAGGTCAAAAAAAAATCTTTCAAAAGTTGCGCAAGACTCGAAAGAAAAAAGTCAGCAAGCGGCGGGGCGCCATCCATATGCGTTCCGGAACAATCAGAAAAATTGTGGAGGGGGGGGGGGCATGATGGCCCCCTGGCCTTATTAGTGTTAATATACATAGTATTACTTCTTTACTCATTAGTGTTTTTAGCGCTCCTAAATAATCGATTTTCTCTTAGTATAATTATTATACCCACATGTGTAAAATAGGAGGGTTGTGTCTTCGCTTCTTTTGTCTCCACTGATAGCAATAATTCCAACTGTATAGCCATGGCCAGCTGCCAAGTTCTGGATTTTGGCACTGGTCATGTCGCCAGTAATGTTGACAAGAAGCTCATCCCCATCCACACTGCCCTTGTCTGCGGGGTCAAGGGTCACTTTGTAGAGTCCACGGATACCCTCGGGTTGGTCCCATTCCAGCGTCACAGCGCGAGGACCGAGGGAGCCGCCAATGATGCGGATCTCTGCGATGGCGGCTGGATCTGTGGAGGCAAGGCAGCATAATATTTTTGACTGACTGCTGATGGTAGTGCGAAAGCAAAGACTCTATAACACTGTCAGACAAAACTGTAGGTCATCACATTATATTCTTCAAACTGGCAACATTAATGGGTTTTGTTTATTGCTAGATTGTTTATATACAAGTTATGTTTCTGTAAAAAATATGTATTGGTAATAAACAATGTCGATTTTGCTTGGTTTTGTTTTAATTCCTGTTTAAAATACATGGCGTCAACTTTGTGGTGGTCATACCCTATTTGTTCATGCATCTGATTACAATTTGTAGGGCTCTGCATCAAAAGTTACTGAGCCAAACCGCATAGTATAGACTGAGTTTCAGCCATTCCATTACATTGTGATTAAAACTTGAAATGATTGTGAGGGGCTAGTTATTTAATAGAGGTTAGTTATTCTTTGAAATGATTACAATTCATAATAATCGATTCAATATTCCTGAAAATCACATGCACTGCATACATAAATAGGTATATGGTAATGGGAATATACACAAGCTTCACGGCAGTTTGGTCCAACTTTTCAGCTACTTCTGGGCCCCTCTGCATAAATCTTACTAACGATTGAAACTTTGGCCGTCAATATTATCTACCGTGGCAACTTCAATCACCATCAATGCAAATCAAAGTTTCCATGGAAGTTATCATCAGTGGCAAAGTTACCATCAATGCTCAGTTTTATTCAACAGAACCCTCGTCATTTTTTAATGTATTAGGACAGATTCTGAAGAGCGATCATTTCCAAGGAACGTTTTGAATCACTTAAACTGAAACATTTAAATTAGGGCTTTATTTGACGAAATATTGGAATCAATGCTACCGCTGCAGAGAAAATGAATGGATTAAACTGACACGAGAGTCCCTCACCTAATCTGAACGAAATGCTTTCATTTAGATAGCTCGTTTCCTGCGAGTATGAGGAGCAGCTTGTGACATAAACTGTGTACTCCTGGCCCGGATCTAGACCATAGAACCGGGCAGATCGGTAGTTCCGCTTTACAGGAAACCTCTCCTGCTGTCTGTTTGCCCTCGCCTCGTATGGTTCATACCTGACGCAGTACTGGTTAAAGGCATCGGTGCCCAGGTCTTGCCAGGTCACGGTGAATTCGGTGTTGCCTTTAGAGGTTACGGCCAGACTGAGAATCTGGGCAAATGAAGCTGGGATAAGGAAGGAATGAAAATGACAAATCAGTCGCATTTCATTTTGTTAATTATCATCATAATCAATATAACTTTTATTGTTATTCTCCTTGTTTTTCGTCTTCTTCGTATTATTATTATAATTATTATTAGTAGTAGTAGCACTGATAGTAGTAGGCCTGGATCACCTGGGCCTTGGAGGCAGCGCATAATACAAGAATTAAAATGCATGGGAATCGGGTACGTCATTTGCCTCGAAATCGGTTGACTTGATCCTTGCATCTGCTTCTAGAGAATCACAACTGTAATTTCCAAAATGACTTGAGAAGCCGCTGCTGTTTACTGTATCACCGTGGTTCTCTTTGATGTGAAAATGAACGGCAAGTGGGGATGAACAAAAAAAAAGTATCACAAGACAAAGGTCTTATGCGTAATTATACATAATTATCTGAAGAAAAGGGAGAATTAAGAATGTAAGAACATACAACAAGTTTTCCTGATTTCATGAAGATACGCTCAAAATATAATTAGGATGGCGCCTAAATATAAAACATGAACTATTCCAGAAAAGTGTGTGTTCTGCTGTCACTTCTACTCACATAGGCTAGCCATGGCTCCATACGCTACGAAGAAATCCATTACGAGGCTACGAACGGACTTCGAGGTACTTGCAGATAAAATAGCTTCAATAGCTCGATATGACAAACCTGGGGGTTTCTAGGACACTTACCCATTACTTAAACCTAGGATGACTACCCTCCGGGACAACTACCCCGGACAACTATCCCCATACAAATACCCCCTAGGACAACTATCACTTAGGACAACGACCCCAGAAAACTACCCCCGGACAACTACCAAACATTCAGTTTCTTAAAGTTCGGAGAAGACCCTAAAAATCACCATTGGTTTTGTACAGTTTCATGATTGCTTTAGCAATTTATCATGATTGAACGAACATCAGCCTACCTGTGTATGCAGAAAACAATTCCCCGTCGCTGAAAGTCTGAGCATTTCCCTCGCCCACGACCGTAGACACATCGATTAGATACTCTGTGCTCGGCATCAGTCCTTCAAGTAAAACCGATGTCATGTTTGGATAGAGGTACCCCACCTCCGTAAAGTTACCAAGCTCATTCGCTCTCTCAAAGGCGACGTAGTACCAGTCAAATATGGTTTCGTTGCCTGGGTCGGACCAGTCGATTACGAGGGAGGTCAGTTGTCTGTCGGCAGTCTTTATGTTGACTGGTGGTAACGGACCTGAAGGATAATCATATGAGGAATCGTTCACACCTCATTACATTCATAAATTTAAAGAACTCCCCCCCCCCCCCCCCCCCCCCCGGAAAAAAAAAAAACTGTTTTATGGCAGTTTTTATTCAAACAATAAGGGGGGAAAACTTTTGCAAATCTGTACACTTATCTCAGGAAATTTGCTGACATTTTATATATTGATACATTTTTAGTCTTAATTTTCACGCTTACGTGTGTACTGCTGAATGGTTTCACACACACCATCCTGATCAATGAAGACGTTGTATTTCTGACCAGATTGGAGATCTGTGAAGTTAACATACTCGCTGTCGTTGAAAAGACCATAGAGGGTTTCGTTCCCGCAACCGCAACCCAGGCTAAATTCTATGTAAACGTAATCCTGCGTGCTCTTGTCCCATCCGACCTGAAAAGAATCTGCAGACAGTGCAGTAACTGCTACATTGTCATTTGCAGGAGATTCTAGAACAGAGAATGAAAGGGAAAGATGATGGAAAGTCATATGACAGCATTTCAAACGACACTTTTGCATTTACTACTCGTGCAAGTTCAAGTAATTTTGTCTGATACGTTACTGACATAAATTGTTATAGGCAAACCCACCAGTGTATAAGGATTACACGTTTGGCTTCCGAATGAAATCTGGACCAATGCAACCTGTACCTAACGATGACCTTTTCCTAGAGGTCACTTTTCTTGTCTTCCTTCATTATATAGGCTTCACCCTACATGTTATAAAACGCTGTGTTTTGATAACCCTGTGATAGCTTAGATCAGACCTAATATGAAATAAAAAGATTAATGTGTTCTAACCTCCTAAATACTTGGTAACATATTGGGACACTAACTGATCAAATACCCTGGACTTGTCCTTATACTGCTCAGATGATAACCATAATGCAAATACATCTAAAGCTGTGAAAGTTAAAAAAGTAATGAACAAAAATTACATTAAAAAGAACTTAGCAGTAAATTGAAACCTGTTTATAAAGACCGATAAAGGGAGACAAGGTAAGTGTTCCTTATATGCTGGTGGTCTAGGGGAAACACGGATCGTGACCTTTTTCATTGAATACAGGTGGTCATGGCAGAACAAAATAATTTATTTTGATTCAGATATATCCACCTAAACAAATTGACTACATATTGAATAAATATCCACATTATCTGCCTGAAAGAGAACAGTTCCAAAAAATAAATTCAACCTATTTTACAATTTCCTGGGTATTGAAATTGCAAAAATGTTATCTAAAGGTAGATTCAAATGTTGCACTGACATATTGGTAGGTGGTCTGCTTTTACCAGACTGATACAAAAGCAGTACTATGCTTATGACTAAGGCTAAGCAATCAGGGGACCAATGGCTTCAGGTTTTCTCCGAGGGAAAATTGGTGCATCACATTTTCAAGATTGCTGCGCTCATGTCATGTTCAAATGCATAACATAATTTAATACTAAGAATATCTTTAATTATAGATCTCTTGTACACTTTCGTAAGGATTTGTTTTTACATCTAATGGCAAGAATACATCTCATTTTTCAGAATACTTTGACTTATTCTGTGGGGTGAGGTTTCCAGTAAGTCTATTCTGAATGAACAATTTAATAGCTACTATCATACTAACCTGTTCTAAAATCGATCTTCCTTGGCTCACTCCTCACATCGATGGCCCCAAAGACCGTGACCACTGTGACATTGTAATCGGTGTCCGGCAGAATACCGATGAAGGGAAATTCAACCCTGGTTTGGTTCTTGATGATGTCACTCCGGTAGATGTGGGCTGGAGAGTCGGTGAAGCCATGGTCCGGACTGTAGGTCACTTCAAAGAAGTCGTAATCGCCTTCAGGGATATTCCAGGCCACTTGACCAGCACAAGAGGAGATTCTACCCAAAGACAGATTGGCAGGGCTAAAGGGTACTAGATAGGTGGAGCCAGGTAAAAATGTCATAAGTAGAAAGTCAGAGGTGAAAATTTCAAATGTAAACATTTTAGAGGTAAAACTTAAGAGGTAAAAATGTCAGAGTTCAAAATGTCAGAGGTAAACATTTTTGAGGTAATAATAACAGAGGTACAACAAATTTATGATTAAGTTTTGTTGTGCATCTTATAATGTATCAGTTGAGGCAAGATAAGCCTGATTTCATTGTGCAGGACATTGACTTATGTGTCCCAACTGTATCTAATGTTTGCAAGTTTGAGATATGATGAATGGTGCTTAACTCAGCATTCTACTTAATGAAGTAGGTACTAATTTAATCATTCGTTGCTAATTGAGACCATGATCTCTTTGTTTGTCCGGTTTCGTTCGAAAATTTCACCAGAACGAGTCACAAGTTTTTTTCTGCATTTCTTCAGGGTAACTTGCTTTAATGATTGGATTCCTCTTAATGCATCCAAGTAGGCAAACCATCAGAGTGGAGTTTGGTAAAGGGTACACATTTTTATCTTTTTCAGCAAAAGAAAACCCATAAAACTTGTCAAAGATCACTATGTACTTAATTAAGAAAGCGTTAGAACCATCGACGTCATATGGCAAAAAAACGTATTGATGTAACAGATCATTTAAACAAAACACGTTACTTGAAGATTTACGAGGAAACAATCACTCGGACAACCGTTACCGAGGATGATGTAAATGAATAAAATCAGCTTTGTTACAGAATTAATGATTTTGTTTGAGATGAAGTATGTTAGCTACGCTCTACATCCATGTAGTATTGGCGCCCTGCCAAAAGTTCATTTCAAATCTTACGGTCGAAACAAAAATTTTGCGAAACTCCCTTTTTCAATTCCTAAAGCTCGGTGGAGACCCTAAAAATCATCATTGGTTTTGTACAGTTTCATGATTGCTTTAGCAATTTCTCACGATGAAAGGAACATCAGCCTACCTGTGTATGCAGAAAACAATTCCCCGTCGCTGAAAGTCTGGGCATTTCCCTCGCCCACGACCGTAGACACATCGATTAGATACTCTGTGCTCGGCATCAGTCCTTGAAGGAAGACCGAGGTCATGTTCGAATAGAGGTACCCCACCTCCGTAAAGTTACCAAGCTCATTCGCTCTCTCAAAGGCGACGTAGTACCAGTCAAATATGGTTTCGTTGCCTGGGTCGGACCAGTCGATTACGAGGGAGGTCAGTTGTCTGTCGGCAGTCTTTATGTTGACTGGTGGTAACGGACCTGAAGGATAATCATATGAGGAATCGTTCACACATGATTACATTCATAAATTTAAAGAACTCCCCCCCCCCCCCCCGAAAAAAAATAACCTGTTTTATGGCAGTTTTTATTCAAACAATTAGGGGGGAAAAGCTTTCGCAAATCTGTACAATTATCTCAGGAAATTTGCTGACATTTTATATATTAACACATTTTTAGTCTTAATTTTCTCGCTTACGTGTGTACTGCTGAAGGGTTTCACACACACCATCCTGATCAAAGAAGACGTTGTATTTCTGACCAGATTGGAGGTCTGTGAAGTTAACATACTCGCTGTCGTTGAAAAGACCATAGAGGGTTTCGTTCCCGCAACCGCAACCCAGGCTAAATTCTATGTAAACATAATCCTGCGTGCTCTTGTCCCATCCAACCTGAAAAGAATCTGCAGACAGTGCAGTAACTGCTACAATGCCATTTGCAGGAGATTCTAGAACAAAGAAGGAAAGGGAAAGATGATGGAAAGTCATATGACAGCATTTCAAACGACACTTTTGCATTTACTACTCGTGCAAGTTCAAGTAATTTTGTCTGATACGTTACTGACATAAATTGTTATAGGCAAACCCACCAGTGTATAAGGATTACACGTTTGGCTTCCGAATGAAATCTGGACCAATGCAACCTGTACCTAACGATGACCTTTTCCTAGAGGTCACTTTTCTTGTCTTCCTTCATTATATAGGCTTCACCCTACATGTTATAAAACGCTGTGTTTTGATAACCCTGTGATAGCTTAGATCAGACCTAATATGAAATAAAAAGATTAACGTGTTCGCACCTCCTCAATACTTGGTAACATATTGGGACACTAACTGATCAAATACCCTGGACTTGTCCTTATACTGCTCAGATGATAACCATAATGCAAATACATCTAAAGCTGTGAAAGTTACAAAGTTCTGGTAAAAATTACATTCAGAAGTACTTAGCAGTAAATTGAAACCTGTATACAGAGACCGATAAAGGGAGACAATGTTAGTGTTCTCTAAATGCGGGCGGTCTAAGGGAAACACGGATCGTGATCTTCCTGTTCATGTGGTTTTCTTTGAATTTAAGCGGTCATGGCAGAACAAAAAAAACAAAAAATTGATTCAGATACATCCACCTAAACAAATTGACTACATATTGAATATTTATCCCACATCATCTGCCTGAAAGAGAACAGTTCCAAAAAATAAATTCAACCTATTTTACAATTTCCTGGGTATTGAAATTGCAAAAATGTTATCTAAAGGTAGATTCAAATGTGGCACTGACATATTGGTAGGTGGTCTGCTTTTACCAGACTGATACAAAAGCAGTACTATGCTTATGACTAAGGCTAAGCAATCAGGGGACCAATGGCTTCAGGATTTCTCCGAGGGAAAATTGGTGCATCACATTTTCAAGATTGCTGCACCCATGTCATGTTCAAATGCATAACATAATTTAATGCTAAGAATATCTTTAATTATAGATCTCTTGTACACTTTCGTAAGGATTTGTTTTTACATCTAATGGCAAGAATACATCTAATTTTTCAGAATACTTTGACTTATTCTGTGGGGTGAGGTTTCCAGTAAGTCTATTCTGAATGAACAATTTATTAGCTACTATCATACTAACCTGTTCTAAAATCGATCTTCCTTGGCTCACTCCTCACATCGATGGCCCCAAAGACCGTGACCACTGTGACATTGTAATCGGTGTCCGGCAGAATACCGATGAAGGGAAATTCAACCCTGGATTGGTTCTTGATGATGTCACTCCGGTAGATGTGGGCTGGAGAGTCGGTGAAGCCATGGTCCGGACTGTAGGTCACTTCAAAGAAGTCGTAATCGCCTTCAGGGATATTCCAGGCTACTTGACCAGCACAAGAGGAGATTCTACCCAAAGACAGATTGGCAGGGCTAAAGGGTACTAGATAGGTGGAGCCAGGTAAAAATGTCATAAGTAGAAAGTCAGAGGTGAAAATTTCAAATGTAAACATTTTAGAGGTAAAACCTAAGAGGTAAAAATGTCAGAGTTCAAAATGTCAGAGGTAAACATTTTTGAGGTAATAATAACAGAGGTACAACAAATTTATGATTAAGTTTTGTTGTGCATCTTATAATGTATCAGTTGAGGCAAGATTAGCCTGATTTCATTGTGCAGGACCTTTACTTGTGAGTCCCAACTGTATCTAATGTTTTTAAGTTTGAGATAGGATGAATGGTGCTTAACTCAGAATTCCAATAAACGAAGTAGGTACTGATTTAATCATTCGTTGCTAATTAAGACCATGTTCTCATTGTTTTCATGGTTTCGTTCTAAAATTTCACCAGAACGAGTCACAAGTTTTTTTCTGCATTTCTTGAGGGTAACTTGCTTTAATGATTCATGGATTCCTCTTAATGCATCCAAGTAGGCAAACCATCAGAGTGGAGTTTGGTAGAGGGTCCGCATTTTATTATTTTTTCAGCAAAAGAATACCCATAAAACTTGTCAAAGATAATCGGTTTTGTTACAGAATTAATGATTTTGTTTGAGATGAAGTATGTTAGCTATGCCCTACATCATTGTAGGATTGGCGGCCTGCCAAAAGTTCATTTCAAATCTTACGGTCGAAACAAAATTTGCAAAACTTCATTTTTTATAATTCCGAAAGTTCGGGGGAGACCCTAAAAATCATCATTGGTTTTGTACAGTTTCATGATTGCTTTAGCAATTTATCACGATTAAACGAACATCAGCCTACCTGTGTATGCAGAAAACAATTCCCCGTCGCTGAAAGTCTGAGCATTTCCCTCGCCCACGACCGTAGACACATCGATTAGGTACTCTGTGCTCGGCATCAGTCCTTGAAGGAAGACCGAGGTCATGTTTGGATAGAGGTACCCCACCTCCGTAAAGTTACCAAGCTCATTCGCTCTCTCAAAGGCGACGTAGTACCAATCAAATATGGTTTCGTTGCCTGGGTCGGACCAGTCGATTACGAGGGAGGTCAGTTGTCTGTCGGTAGTCTTAATGTTGACTGGTGGTAACGGACCTGAAGGATAATCATATGAGGAATCGTTCACACATGATTACATTCATAAATTTAAAGAATCCCCCCTATAAAAAAATATATATATATAATAACAAATAAATAAATAAATAAATACATACGTAAATACAATCTTAAAATATCTGTATTATGGCAGTTTCTTTTTTTAATTAAGGGAAATATAACTTTTGCTAATCAGATTAATTATCTCATGAAATTTGCTGACATTTTATATGCACAGCACTTTCTAGTCTAAATCTTATCTCTTACGTGTGTACTGCTGAAGGGTTTCGCACAGACCATCCTGATCAATGAATACGTTGTATTTCTGACCAGATTGGAGGTCTGTGATATTAGAAATCTCGCTGCCGTTGCCAAGAGCAAAAAGGGTTTCATTCTCGCACGCAGTCTTGCTCTCGTCATCCAGGTTGAATCGTATGTAATTGTAATCCTGCGTGCTGTGGTACCATCCGAACTGAAAAGAATCTGCAGATAGTGCAGTAACTGCAACATTGCCATTTGCAGGAGATTCTAGAACGAAGAAGCAAAAGGAAAAATGATGGAAAGTCATATGTTACTGACATAATTTGTTATAGGCAAACCCACCAGTGTATAAGGATTAAACGTTTGGCTTCCCATTGAAATCTGGACCAATGGAACCTGTACCTAAAGACCACCTGTTCATAGAGGTCACTTTTCTTGTCTTCCTTCATTATATAGGCTTCACCCTACATCTTATAAAACGCTGTGTTTTGTTTATAACCTGGTGAAAGCTTAGATAAGACCTAATATGAATTAAAAAGAATAATGTGTTCGCACCTCCTCAGTAATTGGCAACTTATTGGGACACTAACTGATCAAATACACTGGACTCGTCCTTATACTGGACAAGTGATAACCCTTAATCAAATACATCTAAAGCTGTGAAAGCTACAAAGTACTGGACAAAAATTACATTCAAAAGTACTTAGCAGTAAATTGAAACCTGTATACAGAGACCGATAAAGGGAGACAATGTTAGTGTTCTTTAAATGCGGGCGGTCTAAGGGAAACACGGATCGTGATCTTCCTGTTCATGTGGTTTTCTTTAAATACAGATGGTCATGGCAGAACAAAATAATTTATTTTGATTCAGATATAACCACCTAAACAAATTGACTACATATTGATTCAGTATCCAACATATTCTGCCTGACAAAGAACAGTTCAAACAAATATATTCCACATATTTTACAATTTCCCGGGGATTCAAATTGCAAAATTGTAATCTAAAGGTAGATTTAGATGTTGCACTTACATATTGGTAGGTGGTCTGTTTATACCAGACTGATAAGAAAGAAGTAGTATGCTTTTAACTAAGGCTTAGCAATCGGGGACCAATGGCTTCAGGTTTTCTCCGAGGGAAAATTGGTGCGTCACTTTTTCAAGATTGCTTCGCCCATGTCATGCTAAAAGGCATAACACAATTTAATGAAAAGAATATCTGAATGTATAGATCTCTTGTACACTTCCGTAAGGATTTGTTTTTACATCTAATGGCAAGAATACATCTCATTTTTCAGAATACTTTGACTTATTCTGTGGGGTGAGGTTTCCCGTAAGTCTTCTCTGAAGGACCAATTTATTAGCTACTATCATACTAACCTGTTCTGAAATCGATGTTCCTCGGCTCACTCCTCACATCGAGGGCCCCAAAGACCGTGATCACTGTGACGTGGTAACGGGTGTCCGGATAAATGCCGATGAAGGAAAATTCAACCCTGGTTTGGTTCTTGGTGATGTCGCTCCGGTAGATGTGGGCTGGAGAGTCGGTGAAGCCATGGTCCGGACTGTAGGTCACTTCAAAGAAATCGTAATTTCCTTCAGGGATATCCCAGGTCACTTGACCAGCGCAAGAGGAGATGCTACCCAAAGACAGATTGGCAGGGCTAAAGGGTACTAGATTGGTGGTGCAAGGTAAAAATATCAGAGGTGAAAATTTCAGATGTAAACATTTTAGAGGTAAAAATGTCAGAAGTAAACATATCTGACGTAAAATCTCAAAGGTAAAAATGTCAGAGCTCAAAATGTCAGAGGTTAAAATGTCAGAGGTAAAAATATCTGCGGAAATAATTTCCGAGATAATAATAGCAGAGGTACAACAAATTTATGATTAAGTTTTGTTGCGCAAATATTAATGTTTCAGTTGAGGCAAGATTGGCCAAATTTCATTTTGCAGGACATTGACTTGTGTGTCCCAACCGCACCACATGTCAGTTTTCAAGTTTGAGATATGATGAATGGTGATTTACTCAGCATTCCAATAAAAGAAGTAAGTACTGATTCAATCATTCGTTGCTTATTACGACCATGTTTTCATTGTTTGTATGGTTTCGTTTGAAAATTTCACCAGAACGGATCCCAGGTTTTTTTTTGCATTTCTTCAGGGTAACTTGCTAAAACGATTGGTTTCCCCTTAATGCACCCAAGTAGGCAAACCATCAGAATAGGGTATGGTAGAGGGTCCGCTTTTTATTATTTTTTCAGCAAAAGAAAACCCATAAAACTTGTCAAAGATCGCCTTATACTTAATTAAGAAAGCGTAAGAACCATTTATGTCATACGTCCCAAGATGTAACAAAATTATTTAAACACAATACGTTACTTAAAGTTTTAAGAGGACACAATCACTCGGACGACCTTTACCAAGGATGATGTAAATGAAAAAAAAATCAGTTCAGTTACAGTATTAATGAGTTTGTTGGAGAAGAAGTATGTCAGCTACGCCCTACATCCCTGTAGTATTGGCAGCCTGCCAAGAGTTCATATCAAATCTTACGGTCGAAAAAAAATCGCGATACTTAATTTTTAAGTTCCTAAAGTTCGGGGGAAACCCTAAAAACTATTATTGGTTTTGTACAGTTACATGCTTGCTTTAGCAATTTATCATGATTGAACGAACATCAGCCTACCTGTGTATGCAGAAAACAGTTCCTCATCGCTGAAAGTCTGGGCATTTCCCTCGCCCACGACTGTAGACACATCGATTAGATACTCTGTGCTCGGCATTAGTCCTTCAAGGAAGACCGATGTCATGTTTGGATAGAGGTACCCCACCTCCGTAAAGTTACCAAGCTCATTCGCTCTCTCAAAGGCGACGTAGTACCAGTCAAACATGGTTTCGTTGCCTGGGTCGTACCAGTCGATTACGAGGGAGGTCAGTTGTCTGTTGGTAGTCTTTATGTTGACTGGTGGTAACGGACCTGAAGGATAATCATATGAGGAATCGTTCACGCATGATTACATTCATAAATTTAAAGAATCCCCCCTATAAAAAAAAAAATATATAAATATATATATAATAACAAATAAATAAATAAATAAATGCATATGTAAATACAATCTTAAAATATCTGTATTATAACAGTTTTTGTTTTAATTATATTGGGGGAATATTACTTTAGCTTATCAGATTAATTATCTCATGAAATTTGCTGACATTTTATATGCACAACACTTTCTAGTCTAAATCTTATCTCTTACGTGTGTACTGCTGAAGGGTTTCGCACACACCATCCTGATCAATGAAGACGTTGTATTTCTGACCAGATTGGAGGTCTGTGATGTTAGAAATCTCGCTGCCGTTGCCAAGAGCAAAGAGGGTTTCATTCTCGCACGCAGTCTTGCTCTCGTCATCCAGGTTGAATCGTATGTAATTGTAATCCTGCGTGCTGTGGTACCATCCGAACTGAAAAGAATCTGCAGATAGTGCAGTAACTGCAACATTGCCATTTGCAGGAGATTCTAGAACGAAGAAGCAAAAGGAAAAATGATGGAAAGTCATACGTTACTGACATAATTTGTTATAGGCAAACCCACCAGTGTATAAGGATTACACGTTTGGCTTCCCATTGAAATCTGGACCAATGGAACCTGTACCTAAAGACCACCTGTTCATAGAGGTCACTTTTCTTGTCTTCCTTCATTATATAGGCTTCACCCTACATCTTATAAAACGCTGTGTTTTGTTTATAACCTGGTGAAAGCTTAGATAAGACCTAATATGAATTAAAAAGAATAATGTGTTCGCACCTCCTCAGTAATTGGCAACTTATTGGGACACTAACTGATCAAATACACTGGACTCGTCCTTATACTGGACAAGTGATAACCCTTAATCAAATACATCTAAAGCTGTGAAAGCTACAAAGTACTGGACAAAAATTACATTCAAAAGTACTTAGCAGTAAATTGAAACCTGTATACAGAGACCGATAAAGGGAGACAATGTTAGTGTTCTTTAAATGCGGGCGGTCTAAGGGAAACACGGATCGTGATCTTCCTGTTCATGTGGTTTTCTTTAAATACAGATGGTCATGGCAGAACAAAATAATTTATTTTGATTCAGATATAACCACCTAAACAAATTGACTACATATTGATTAAGTATCCAACATATTCTGCCTGACAAAGAACAGTTCAAACAAATATATTCCACATATTTTACAATTTCCCGGGGATTCAAATTGCAAAATTGTAATCTAAAGGTAGATTTAGATGTTGCACTTACATATTGGTAGGTGGTCTGTTTATACCAGACTGATAAGAAAGAAGTAGTATGCTTTTAACTAAGGCTTAGCAATCGGGGGACCAATGGCTTCAGGTTTCCTCCGAGGGAAAATTGGTGCGTCACTTTTTCAAGATTGCTTCGCCCATGTCATGCTAAAAGGCATAACACAATTTAATGAAAAGAATATCTGTATGTATAGATCTCTTGTACACTTCCGTAAGGATTTGTTTTTACATCTAATGGCATGAATACTTCTCATTTTTCAGAATACTTTGACTTATTCTGTGGGGTGAGGTTTCCCGTAAGGACCAATTTATTAGCTATTATCATACTAACCTGTTCTGAAATCGATGTTCCTCGGCTCACTCCTCACATCGAGGGCCCCAAAGACCGTGATCACTGTGACGTGGTAACGGGTGTCCGGATAAATGCCGATGAAGGAAAATTCAACCCTGGTTTGGTTCTTGGTGATGTCGCTCCGGTAGATGTGGGCTGGAGAGTCGGTGAAGCCATGGTCCGGACTGTAGGTCACTTCAAAGAAATCGTAATTTCCTTCAGGGATATCCCAGGTCACTTGACCAGCGCAAGAGGAGATGCTACCCAAAGACAGATTGGCAGGGCTAAAGGGTACTAGATTGGTGGTGCAAGGTAAAAATATCAGAGGTGAAAATTTCAGATGTAAACATTTTAGAGGTAAAAATGTCAGAAGTAAACATATCTGACGAAAAATCTCAAAGGTAAAAATGTCAGAGCTCAAAATGTCAGAGGTTAAAATGTCAGAGGTAAAAATATCTGCGGAAATAATTTCCGAGGTTATAATAGCAGAGGTACAACAAATTTATGATTAAGTTTTGTTGCGCAAATATTAATGTTTCAGTTGAGGCAAGATTGGCCCAATTTCATTTTGCAGGACATTGACTTGTGTGTCCCAACCGCACCAAATGTCAGTTTTCAAGTTTGAGATATGATGAATGGTGATTTACTCAGCATTCCAATAAAAGAAGTAAGTACTGATTCAATCATTCGTTGCTTATTACGACCATGTTTTCATTGTTTGTATGGTTTCGTTTGAAAATTTCACCAGAACGGATCCCAGGTTTTTTTTTGCATTTCTTCAGGGTAACTTGCTAAAACGATTGGTTTCCCCTTAATGCACCCAAGTAGGCAAACCATCAGAATAGGGTATGGTAGAGGGTCCGCTTTTTATTATTTTTTCAGCAAAAGAAAACCCATAAAACTTGTCAAAGATCGCCTTATACTTAATTAAGAAAGCTTAAGAACCATTTATGTCATACGTCCCAAGATGTAACAAAATTATTTAAACACAATACGTTACTTAAAGTTTTAAGAGGACACAATCACTCGGACGACCTTTACCAAGGATGATGTAAATGAAAAAAAAATCAGTTCAGTTACAGTATTAATGAGTTTGTTGGAGAAGAAGTATGTCAGCTACGCCCTACATCCCTGTAGTATTGGCAGCCTGCCAAGAGTTCATATCAAATCTTACGGTCGAAAAAAAAATCGCAATACTTAATTTTTAAGTTCCTAAAGTTCGGGGGAAACCCTAAAAATCATCATTGGTTTTGTACAGTTACATGCTTGCTTTAGCAATTTATCATGATTGAACGAACATCAGCCTACCTGTGTATGCAGAAAACAATTCCCCGTCGCTGAAAGTCTGGGCATTTCCCTCGCCCACGACCGTAGACACATCGATTAGATACTCTGTGCTCGGCATCAGTCCTTCAAGGAAGACCGATGTCATGTTTGGATAGAGGTACCCCACCTCCGTAAAGTTACCAAGCTCATTCGCTCTCTCAAAGGCGACGTAGTACCAGTCAAACATGGTTTCGTTGCCTGGGTCGTACCAGTCGATTACGAGGGAGGTCAGTTGTCTGTTGGTAGTCTTTATGTTGACTGGTGGTAACGGACCTGAAGGATAATCATATGAGGAATCGTTCACGCATGATTACATTCATCAATTTAAAGAATCCCCCCTATAAAAAAAAAAAATATATATATATATATATATATAATAACAAATAAATAAATAAATAAATGCATATGTAAATACAATCTTAAAATATCTGTATTATAACAGTTTTTGTTTTAATTATATTGGGGGAATATTACTTTAGCTTATCAGATTAATTATCTCATGAAATCTGCTGACATTTTATATGCACAACACTTTCTAGTCTAAATCTTATCTCTTACGTGTGTACTGCTGAAGGGTTTCGCACACACCATCCTGATCAATGAAAACGTTGTATTTCTGACCAGATTGGAGGTCTGTGATGTTAGAAATCTCGCTGCCGTTGCCAAGAGCAAAGAGGGTTTCATTCTCGCACGCAGTCTTGCTCTCGTCATCCAGGTTGAATCGTATGTAATTGTAATCCTGCGTGCTGTGGTACCATCCGAACTGAAAAGAATCCGCAGATAGTGCAGTAACTGCAACATTGCCATTTGCAGGAGATTCTAGAACGAAGAAGCAAAAGGAAAAATGATGGAAAGTCATACGTTACTGACATAATTTGTTATAGGCAAACCCACCAGTGTATAAGGATTACACGTTTGGCTTCCCATTGAAATCTGGACCAATGGAACCTGTACCTAAAGACCACCTGTTCATAGAGGTCACTTTTCTTGTCTTCCTTCATTATATAGGCTTCACCCTACATCTTATAAAACGCTGTGTTTTGTTTATAACCTGGTGAAAGCTTAGATAAGACCTAATATGAATTAAAAAGAATAATGTGTTCGCACCTCCTCAGTAATTGGCAACTTATTGGGACACTAACTGATCAAATACACTGGACTCGTCCTTATACTGGACAAGTGATAACCCTTAATCAAATACATCTAAAGCTGTGAAAGCTACAAAGTACTGGACAAAAATTACATTCAAAAGTACTTAGCAGTAAATTGAAACCTGTATACAGAGACCGATAAAGGGAGACAATGTTAGTGTTCTTTAAATGCGGGCGGTCTAAGGGAAACACGGATCGTGATCTTCCTGTTCATGTGGTTTTCTTTAAATACAGATGGTCATGGCAGAACAAAATAATTTATTTTGATTCAGATATAACCACCTAAACAAATTGACTACATATTGATTAAGTATCCAACATATTCTGCCTGACAAAGAACAGTTCAAACAAATATATTCCACATATTTTACAATTTCCCGGGGATTCAAATTGCAAAAGTGTAATCTAAAGGAAGATTTAGATGTTGCACTTACATATTGGTAGGTGGTCTGTTTATACCAGACTGATAAGAAAGAAGTAGTATGCTTTTAACTAAGGCTTAGCAATCGGGGGACCAATGGCTTCAGGTTTTCTCCGAGGGAAAATTGGTGCGTCACTTTTTCAAGATTGTTTCGCCCATGTCATGCTAAAAGGCATAACACAATTTAATGAAAAGAATATCTGTATGTATAGATCTCTTGTACACTTCCGTAAGGATTTGTTTTTACATCTAATGGCATGAATACTTCTCATTTTTCAGAATACTTTGACTTATTCTGTGGGGTGAGGTTTCCCGTAAGGACCAATTTATTAGCTATTATCATACTAACCTGTTCTGAAATCGATGTTCCTCGGCTCACTCCTCACATCGAGGGCCCCAAAGACCGTGATCACTGTGACGTGGTAACGGGTGTCCGGATAAATGCCGATGAAGGAAAATTCAACCCTGGTTTGGTTCTTGGTGATGTCGCTCCGGTAGATGTGGGCTGGAGAGTCGGTGAAGCCATGGTCCGGACTGTAGGTCACTTCAAAGAAATCGTAATTTCCTTCAGGGATATCCCAGGTCACTTGACCAGCGCAAGAGGAGATGCTACCCAAAGACAGATTGGCAGGGCTAAAGGGTACTAGATTGGTGGTGCAAGGTAAAAATATCAGAGGTGAAAATTTCAGATGTAAACATTTTAGAGGTAAAAATGTCAGAAGTAAACATATCTGACGAAAAATCTCAAAGGTAAAAATGTCAGAGCTCAAAATGTCAGAGGTTAAAATGTCAGAGGTAAAAATATCTGCGGAAATAATTTCCGAGGTTATAATAGCAGAGGTACAACAAATTTATGATTAAGTTTTGTTGCGCAAATATTAATGTTTCAGTTGAGGCAAGATTGGCCCAATTTCATTTTGCAGGACATTGACTTGTGTGTCCCAACCGCACCAAATGTCAGTTTTCAAGTTTGAGATATGATGAATGGTGATTTACTCAGCATTCCAATAAAAGAAGTAAGTACTGATTCAATCATTCGTTGCTTATTACGACCATGTTTTCATTGTTTGTATGGTTTCGTTTGAAAATTTCACCAGAACGGATCCCAGGTTTTTTTTTGCATTTCTTCAGGGTAACTTGCTAAAACGATTGGTTTCCCCTTAATGCACCCAAGTAGGCAAACCATCAGAATAGGGTATGGTAGAGGGTCCGCTTTTTATTATTTTTTCAGCAAAAGAAAACCCATAAAACTTGTCAAAGATCGCCTTATACTTAATTAAGAAAGCTTAAGAACCATTTATGTCATACGTCCCAAGATGTAACAAAATTATTTAAACACAATACGTTACTTAAAGTTTTAAGAGGACACAATCACTCGGACGACCTTTACCAAGGATGATGTAAATGAAAAAAAAATCAGTTCAGTTACAGTATTAATGAGTTTGTTGGAGAAGAAGTATGTCAGCTACGCCCTACATCCCTGTAGTATTGGCAGCCTGCCAAGAGTTCATATCAAATCTTACGGTCAAAAAAAAATTGCGATACTTAATTTTTAAGTTCCTAAAGTTCGGGGGAAACCCTAAAAACTATCATTGATTTTGTACAGTTACATGCTTGCTTTAGCAATTTATCATGATTGAACGAACATCCCGGCCCCCCCCCCCCACTCAGTGTTATTTAGGGTACGCGTATGCTTGTACCCTCTTTTTGAAAAGACCCCCTATCTGAGCACTGCCAACATTTCCGAACCCCCCCCTTTCGCGGGCTTTTCACGGGCTTTTCCTGCCTTGGAGACCCCCCTAAATCCGGAACGCTGCTCAATGTACCCCCCTATCTCAGGACATGCAGACACCCCCCCCCCCCCCCCCCTCTCATCTCAGATAAGCTGTCATTACTGGTTTGCACTTCTTCAAGTTCAAGTTCTTCTTCTTGATCATTTTGAAGCACAATTTTGTTTAGGGCTTCAATATTACACCATATCACAGACACTGATAACATGAAGGGCCTTGCATCTCAGATTTAACATTGTTAAACGATCCCTTTAATACACAGCCAGGAATACTAATGCAGCTGTGTGTGAATTAGGGTAGCGGAAGCCTACACTACAGTACAAAACTACATACTACTAGGTCTAGATTTAAGTCCCACATATTCATTTTCATGGGTGTAGGAAAATGAGTTTGAAAGTGTTATTATTGCGATCAAACTATAGGGCAAACTACTCACCTGAATGTGCCACCCTGTGAGCCACATGTAGACAGCCACAATATCCACAACGAGGAGACTGTGGGTCCTGCTCAAAGACGTCCCAATCTTGACAATTTTGGCAGGGCCCACGCCTAATAGCCCATCTTGATGCCCCGGCTTGATGCCGAGCCTAGCCCGATATGCATGATGAGCGCGCCGTACAGACTGTACGTTCTGTTGTTATCTCTCTCTCTCTCTCTCTCTCTCTCACACAGATTTTGAGAAGTCCGTACTGCCCCTGTACTGGGACGGGAGTGCATGGGACTCAATGTTTTTACTTTTCATAATGAAATAATCCTGAATGAGCTTTCAAAACTAGCAGGAATTTCTGAAATCTGATCGCGGGATTTCATCAATTTTTCTATGTTCAACTTCAAGATTTTTTATAACCCCCTTTTTTAATTACAAAGAGATGAGAGAAAAACACCCCTTTTTTAAAGAAATCTCCGGGTGAAAGTCAAATACACCCCCTTTTTTTACATTTCTCGGGCTGGACTTTGTCGCACGAAAAGTACCCCTTTACCGGACATTTTGGCAACACGCATGCGGTCATTTCCAAACCTGAGTGGGGGGGCCGGGACGAACATCAGCCTACCTGTGTATGCAGAAAACAATTCCCCGTCGCTGAAAGTCTGAGCATTTCCCTCGCCCACGACCGTAGACACATCGATTAGGTACTCTGTGCTCGGCATCAGTCCTTCAAGGAAGACCGAGGTCATGTTCGAATAGAGGTACCCCACCTCCGTAAAGTTACCAAGTTCATTCGCTCTCTCAAAGGCGACGTAGTACCAGTCAAACATGGTTTCGTTGCCTGGGTCGTACCAGTCGATTACGAGGGAGGTCAGTTGTCTGTTGGTAGTCTTTATGTTGACTGGTGGTAACGGACCTGAAGGATAATCATATGAGGAATCGTTCACGCATGATTACATTCATAAATTTAAAGAATCCCCCCTATAAAAAAATATATATATATAATAACAAATAAATAAATAAATAAATGCATATGTAAATACAATCTTAAAATATCTGTGTTATGGCAGTTTTTGTTTTAATTATATTGGGGGAATATTACTTTAGCTTATCAGATTAATTATCTCATGAAATTTGCTGACATTTTATATGCACAACACTTTCTAGTCTAAATCTTATCTCTTACGTGTGTACTGCTGAAGGGTTTCGCACACACCATCCTGATCAATGAAGACGTTGTATTTCTGACCAGATTGGAGGTCTGTGATGTTAGAAATCTCGCTGCCGTTGCCAAGAGCAAAGAGGGTTTCATTCTCGCACGCAGTCTTGTTCTCGTCATCCAGGTTGAATCGTATGTAATTGTAATCCTGCGTGCTGTGGTACCATCCGAACTGAAAAGAATCTGCAGATAGTGCAGTAACTGCAACATTGCCATTTGCAGGAGATTCTAGAACGAAGAAGCAAAAGGAAAAATGATGGAAAGTCATACGTTACCGACATAATTTGTTACTAGACCAACCCCACCAGTGTATAAAGACCACATGTTTTGCTTCCCATTGAAACATGAATTAAAGGAACTTGTGAGTAAAGGCCATCTGATCAAAGAAGCCATTTTTTCTTGTCTTCCCTCAGGGGTCTTTCTTCAGTCAAACATGCTGTCTAGAAAGATTACCTGTCCATAAAACACTACATTTTTAATTTCCCATGAATATAGGTTCTCATTGAAATCTTTACCAAAGAAACCTGTTCACAAAGACCACCTGTTCATAGAGGTCACTTTTCTTGTCTCCCTTCATTATTTTAGTTTCACCCTACATGTTACCAAACGCCGAATTTTGATAATAACCTGGTGAAATCTTAGATCAGACCTAATTAATGTGTGCACAGAAAGAAAAAAAAATGCTTTATTTTGATTCAGACATATCCACCTAAACAAATTACATATTAATTTAGTGTTTCTTTCTGCATTATCTGCCTGGGAGAGAACAGTTTTACAAATAATTTCCACATATTTTAAAATTTCCCGGGTATTGAAATTGCAAAATTGTGATCTAAAGGTACTTTTAGATGTTGTACTGACATATTGGTAGATGTTCTGTTTTTACCAGACTGGTAAGAAAGCAGGAGTACAAAGAGATTTGACACTTTGAAATTGTTATCTGTTGGTTTGCATCATTATTGCCGCGATTATAGTTTCGTGAATAGATTTACGAAACCTGAGCTTAGAATTAGTAAAAGTATTACTAATGTCTACGTTTTTAAACGACTGTCTGATTTTCTTGTGAAAATTTTACTTTGAAAAATGATTATCGAAATTCATGGTCAGAAATAATCACAATCTAGGGTCTATTATGTTCTTGCATCAAATCAATGCCTGAAAACTGAGTTATTGAACTAGAATTTTTTTATTTTTATAAATAGGCAATTATGAAGTAGGAATTAAGCCTGAAACCTTAGCCTACTAAACAAATCTGAACAAAGTGTAGGCCTATCCTTTTATGAATTAATGAAAAAGTAGCCCCAGAAAAAAGAGCCCTGCAAAAGTTGAAAAAGTAGCCCCCGAAAATTTCCCAAAAGTTTGAAATGGAGCCCCCGAAATGAAAAACTTAATTTTTTGCCTGCGCCCCCCTCTAGAATCCCTTGGATTTCCGCGGTCCTGAGTTGAGTGTATATATAATATAGGCGTGGGGTCCACGGGTTTCAAGGGGCCATAAACCTCCAAAAGCTCGGGGGTTACGTTCTTCAAATTGGGGGGGGGGGGAGAGATCAGATCGCAGCGAGTTGAGTGTATCGGGGGGTTTAGGCGTTTAATTAGGGTCAGATGAGCATATTTTTAATACTTTATTTGTGACACTTGCGGGTTACTAATTGACATGGGGTCAATACGTAGAGTTGCGTAGTGTTGCGTACCAACTACGCTGGCCTACGTTATTATATGCTGAGGGACGGAAAGGGGTACGCAAGATGAACGAAAACAATTCAACATGTGTAATATTTTTTGCTTACTTTCGGCGTAGAAACTTGACGCAGAAAGTATGCCTTTTTACGCAACACTACGCTACATGCCTACGCAACAGTACGCTACCCTACGCCAGATCGAAAAAGCAGTAAAAGCTAATTTCCACACAGTAAGCAACCATAAGCAAACCTGTACGCCAGCCTACGCATAACCTACGCAGGGACTATTTTCCCATTAATACGCAGCCTAATTTCTGCGTAGCCGGTACACCACACTACGAAACTCAACGCAGTTCCAGTGGCTTAAAGAATAACTACCGGTACAGTTGTATCGTTTTTTGTTTTTTTATATAAGGCCAAATTAAAAAAAAACATGTTTAGCGTCCTGCTTTTTCGAAAAATGAGAAGGAGGAGGCCCTTTTTTTTTTTTTTCTTTCAAAATGGCCGCTCCGTACGTTTTCCCTGACATTCGGGCTATTTTTCAAGATGGCGGCCGACATTTAAAAAAAAATTTTTTTTAAATCAGAAAATAAATTTTAGCAGTGCTTTTCATGTTTGTTTTCTTTCAAAAAATTTCAAAAAATTTCAACAAAAAAAAAATGGGAGGCAGCCCCCAAAAAGGAAGCGGGCGGGGACGCTGTTTTTTCCCTTTCGAAAAAAAAAAAAAAATTAAACAAATTTAAAAAAAAAAAAAATTGGGGAGCGGCCCCCAAAAAGGAAGCGGGCGGGGACGTTAAACATGTATATTTTTTTTAATGGCCTGAATGGCAAATAAAGTTCTTCGTGGTTTTAATTTAGACAGTCTCTATATATCTATTTACACCCCCCGCCCCCCTCTATAATCCCGCGGATTTCCGCGGGTCCTGCTAGTGCTTGTATATAAGCCTTATATTAATCAGGTTTTAGGTCTTCTTCGAGGGACAAATGGTGCATCACATTTTCAAGATGGCTGCGCCCATATTTCTTGCTAAAAGGCATAAAATCATGCAAAGAATATCTTCTTAAATATATATATATATATATATATACATCTAAGGGCAAGAATACATCTAAGGGCAAGAATACATCTCATTTTTTTCAGAATACTTCCACTTATTCTGTGAGGTGAGGTTTCCTTTAAGTCTTACCTAAGGAACAATTCATTAGCTACTATCGTACCAACCTGTTTTAAAAGAGATGTGCGAGGGGTTACTCCTTGAATGGAGCGACGAATTAAGGACCGTGACCACTGTGACGTTGTAAAACGTGTCCGGCAGAATGCCGATGAAGGTAAATTCAACCGGCCTCGTGTGGTTCGTGGTGGTTGGGTAGATGTGAGTTGGAGAGCTGGTGAAGCCATGGTCCGGACTGTAGGTCACTTCAACGAATTCGAAACTTGAGACATAAGGGATATAGATCACTTGACCAGCACACGAGGAGATGCTGCCCAAAGACAGTCTCATGGGCTCTAGATTGGTGGTGCCGGGTGAAAATGTCAGAGGTAAAAATGTCAGAGGTTAAAATGTCAGAGGTAAAAATATCAGAGGTAAAAATGTCAGAGGCAAAAATAAGTGAAACAAAATAATGTCAGTGGTAATAATTTCAAAGGTACAACAAAAAAGTCAGAGGTAAAATAATATGTCGGGGTAAAAATCAGTGCATGCCGTCATAATAGCACTTTTTCACACAAAATGTCAAGACGTAATTTACTGGGCTTGTCTATCATATTTCCTTCTTCCATGGCTTCCATATCATAATGTATATTTCGTAAATTACTGTGTACTGTACTTCGTACATGTCCTGCATAATACAATGTGAACACAAACATTGAAACTTATATTTTGTAATCAGGTTTGCATTTATACGTGATTTTCTAATATTTTCGATATTTTAAATTTGTTGAGGTTTTAATGTTTTTTTTAGGTTTGAGGAAGAATTGGCTGCCGACCTATTTTGAACTCGCCGCCCAATGACCAACTGATCTCCCAGGGCCGAACGGGCGGCGACAGCTCGATCGACAGCCTTTGACCTAGCGGCGATTTTTGATCTAGATCGCTCGACGGCGACCGCTCGATTAGGTCGGTGCCTGGGCGGCGAGTGAAAAGTGAGCAGGCGCCGCCGAATTTTAACTCTGCTCTAAAACTTCAGCGGCGACCGAGCGATATGCCCTTAAAACAAGCGGTGCCCGGGCGCCGAAGAGGCTACTTTTTGGGGTTGTGACCATAGCTTTTAACAAGTGTAAGCCCTACAAAGCAGTATGAAATCCAATTATGATGATCTTTTGTGCATCTAATAATGTTTTAGGTGGGGCAAGCTTGGCCCGATTTCATATTGCAGGACATTGACTTGTGTGTCCCAACTGCAATAAATATGTTTCAGTTTCCGATTTGATGAATGATGCTTAACTCGATCAGCATTCTAATAAATAAAGTATGTACTCATGTAATCATTCGTTGCTTTGCCCAAAATTTTAGATTCAAAATCCGTTGCGATGTAAAGCTAACACAAGCAGAATCATTTTTTATTGAAATTGACAACTCGAATCTCAAAAATGTAATTAGCTATTATCGCCCCTTTTCTTTACTCCCAAGTATATCAAAAGTCTGAGAAAAAATGTTTATACTAGGCTATATAAATTTATCAACAAACACAATATACTTAATTCAAATCAATATGACATAGCATTAATTCAAATTTATGAAAAAATTACAAGCGCGAATACTAACAAAGACCATGTTATTGGTATATTCTGTGACCTGAGTAAAGCGTTTGATACGCTCAATCACGTTATCCTTCTTTCCAAACTCAGTAATTATGGGATTCGAAGTCAATCAATCTCATGGTTCAGTAGAGGTGTCATGGTCGAGTAAATACGTAACCGGACTGTCGATTACAAGGTCCGCGGTTCGAGTCCCGCCATGGCACTATATATACTGTCCTTTTGGCAAGACATTGATCTCAGTGCAATTGCCACACTCAACCCAGGTGAGGTAAATGGGTACCTGGTAGGATTATTCCTTGAAATGCACTGTGCACTGATAATACTGCCGGAGCTAAAGCTAGGCCAATTTCCAAAGCTCTTTGGAAGCGCATAGAGATGTTATTTCCTGACGTAATATGCGCTATACAAGAACTGAGCTATCATCATTATTATTATGATTTAAAGATTATTTATCAAACAGAAGACAATATGTTGCATTCAATGGATATAATTCTGATTCCTTATGGTGTCTCTCAATGCTCCACTCTGGGCCCCCTTTTATTTCTGCTCTATGCCAATATCAATACATCCACCCTTCTTTCTTTTTGTGCTATTTGCTGACGACACAAATATCCTTTGTTCTCTTAAAGACCTTAACTCATTAAACGATATCTTAAATCATGAAATTGATAAAGTATCAGACTGGTTTAAGTCCAATAAAGTTTCTCTTAATATTAAAAAAAAGACTCATTTCGTGTATTTCAAACATCATTCTCACAATAGGGACCCATCGGTATATATTGAGATCGATGATATGACAATAGAGATGAAGACTAAGTCTAAGTTTTTGGGTGTAATTATAGATGAAGCTTTGACATGGAATGACCATCTGCACCACGTATACACTGAGCATTTCGAAAAGCATTGGGATAATTTCCAGGTTAAACGTTTTTTCTACACCATGCAACCGTATGCTTATTATATAATACGCTAGTAGTCCCATACATAACATATTGCAACATCGTATGGGCTAATTGCTGTTCGACTAAAATCAAATCTATTCTTAAATTACAAAAGAGAGCTATCCGTACAGGATCACATTATTGGGCTCACACTGGCCCATTATTCTCTAAACTTAGAACACTAAAAAAAAATTATTTGAATACTATTCAAATAGCAGTTATTATGTTCAAGTATATCAATAAACAACTTCCACCATCCTTTGATAACATGTTTAGTTTCGATTGTTCTCAGGCTGTTCATTCCTACCCCACTCGCATATCTAGAAATTTCCACCTAACTAACCCTAAATGAATAATAACGCACAAATCTATTAGACATTTTGGTTCGGATCAGGGGCGTAAATCCGGGGGGGGGGGATGGGGGGCTGCATCCCCCTGGCTTGAAGTAAGGGGGGTGCCCTGTAAAAACATCCCCCCCTGATATTACAAAAAAAAAAGAGAAAAAAAGGAAGAAGAAGAAGAAAAAAATGTGATTGTTTCAATTTCAGCATAGTGCATGAGAAATTAGTTTTTTTTTTAAATGTATGTATAACTGTATAGCCTACACGTATACAGTATGTCACGATCGTTAAGAGTAGTTGCGCGACGTGCGCAAACAAGCACTTCATAAACTTCAGAATAGTTTTTCGTTATTTTGCAAGGTATTATTATAGCCCAGACGTAAAGTGCGCCAGCGCGCGAGCGCTTAAAAAGTGCAATCTTGTACAGTAGATGCCCGGCTCCCCCACTTAGTATTACTTAGGGTACGCGTATGCTCGTTCCCTCCCTTTGAAAGCACCCCCCCCCCCCCCCAACCCTATTTCAGGACTGCCAACATTTCTGAATCCCCCTTTCGACGGCTTTTCGCTGGCTTTTTCTGCCTTGGAGACCCCCCCCCCCTAAATCCGGAACACTGCTAAATGTACCACCCCCCCCCCCCAATTTCAGGTGAGTTCTAGTCGATCGAGGGGGCCTTGGGGCCAATGCTTTTACTTTTCAAAATGAAATAATCCTGAATGAGCTTTCAAAGCTAGCAGGAATTTCAGGAATTTGATCCCGGGATTTGATCAATTTTTCTATGATATTCAAGATATTTTATAACCTCCTTTTTACATTTCTCAGGAGTCCAAAGAGAGAGAGAGAAAAAAAACCCATCCCCTTTTTAAAGAAATTAGGAGTCGAGAATGGTACAACGAATCGTCTTCTTTCTCTAATGATTTAATGAAACGTATAAGCTTCCGCGCAAAGCGCGGGAGGGGGAGGGGGGAACTGAATTCAGACGAGGATTAAGAGTCGAGAACGGAACAACGAATCGTCTTCTTTCTCTAATGATTTAATGAAACGTAAAAGCTTCCGCGCAAAGCGCGGGGGGGGGGGGGGGGGGACTGAATTCAGACGAGGATTAAGAGTCGAGAACAGTACAATAAATCGTCTTTTTTCTCTAATGATTCTTTGAAACGTAAAAGCTTCCCCGCTTCGCGCGGGCGGGGAAGGGAAAAATTGAATTCAGATGAGGATTAAAAGTCGAGAACGGTACAACGAATCGTCTTCTTTCTCTAATGATTTAATGAAACGTAATAGCTTCCGCGCTTCGCAGAGGAGAGAGGGGGGAGAAAGAGAAAAACTGAATTCAGATGAGGATTAAAAGTCGAGAACGGTACAACGAATCGTCTTCTTTCTCTAATGATTTAATGAAACGTAAAAGCTTCCGCGCTTCGCGCAGGAGGGGGGAAGGGAAAAACTGAATTCAGATGAGGATTAAAAGTCGAGAACGGTACAACGAATCGTCTTCTTTCTCTAATTATTTAATGAAACGCAAAAGCTTCTGCGCTTCGCGCAGGAGGGGGGAAGGGAAAAACTGAATTCAGATGAGTATTAAAAGTCGAGAACGGTACAACGAATCGTCTTCTTTCTCCAATGATTTAATGATACGTAAAAGCTTCCGCGCTTCGCACGGGAGGGGGGGGAAAACTAAATTCAGACGAGGATTATTTTCGAGAACGGTACAACGAATCGTCTTCTTTCTCTAATAGTGTTTGTTGTTTGTTCGTTTGTGTGTGTGCGTGTGTGTGTGTGCGTTTGTGTGTGTGTTGTGTGTTTGTGCGTGCGCGATTGCGCGCGCTTGCGTAAATTAGTGTGGGCGTGTGCTCGTGCTAGTATGTGATGGCTATCGCCGATCATCCCCCCCCCCCCCCACTCGGTACGGATTTACGCCCCTGGTTTGGATATTTGGAATAATTTTCCCGACAACATCAAATCTTATTTAACCCTCCATTCCTTGAAAGCCACACTTAAACGAAAAACAATAGAATCATATGAATCTAAATTAGTACAATAGCTTTGTCTGAAACCATAATTTAACATTTCTTTTACTCAACTGCTGTCTGCTGCACCAGCACCAGCTTTCAATGCACCCACTTGATCACTAGGTTTTACCAAGAGAGTTTTGTTGCTAAATCTTGTTTTTCTTTTTTTTCACGAGGCCGCCATCTATTCCCAGCCTAACCACTCAAGATGGCGGTCTCCTGCGTTCTGAAATTTATTTCTTTAGTTAAATGAAAAGTATATACAAATATATGTTATACTTGTTTGTATGCTTTGTATTATGGTTATTGTATAATATTATTAGACATGATTTGCTATGTATGCAATACTTATGTAAAAATGTATAACCTTGTATTCTTATTTGAACGCAGAAATAAAATAAATCAAACAAACAAATTTACGCCCATGTTCTCATTGTTTGTACGGTTTCGTACAAAAATTGCTCCAGAAGGGATTACGGGTTTCTCTGC